AAAGTTACTTAAAAATAATAATAAATATAAGTAAACACAATGTTAGAATAATAATTTATAATTAAGTAGTGGCGTAAGGAATAAAAATCCCTAACCAGATATGTTTTAAAGAAACACTCCTAACAAAAACAAGTCAAGTTACAATACAATTAATAATAAATTATTAATATATCTTTATAATATTGAACTTCATAATAAGTTGCAATAATTATTTTATTCTAGTGCAAAAATTGATAGGTGTGTCGAGTTACAAAATGAAATAAATATTATTTAGAATAACAACGTAGTATCTTATTTACTCACCGATATCATTAAACGCCTTGCTATTTCAGTTATTGTTAGTTATGTTTTGCTCATGCAAAACAATGGTTTCAGCCTTTTTAAATGTTGATAGGTGTTGGAACATCTTGTAAAAATAAAAATAACTTTGCACACGAATATAAGTAGTGTAGCAATAAACTATGAAATCCTCATAAATTGACAACTAAGAACGCAATTATTTTGTAAGTCGGGTGATTTGAAAAACATGTTTTAAATAGTCGGTAGTTACTTCATAAGCGTGTAAAATAAAATGACTCGAGATTTCTATGGTCGCCACAAACATTGCAAATATACTCAGGTATCGAACCATTAAGAAATCACAGTTAATTACTTTTTTACTGTTTTTATCTTATTTAAGTTGGTTGAAATGCATGAAGCAAATGAGATTATTCTAAATAATAAATAACTAGAACTAAAATATAAATAAAAGATATTATAGGTATAAATAAATCTAAAGTATTTACTATTAAAATTAACATAAGATTTAGAACAATAGGAAAGGAAAAAAAAGAAAAGATTTAATTGTTTCTAATTTCAAATTTCAAATATTTGATAAATTAATTCTAAAACAACATGTGAATGTTGGAATCGATCCGGCGGCACTTTACTTGACAATTGGAGGCGATAACCATTGCGCCAAGCGCGCTGTAGATGAGATCATCGAAATATTTTATATCATTCAGTAACATAAAATTACAATGAGAAAGCACTATATTTATATGGGTATTGTATAGCTCGATCGTTCATTATTTTTGATTTCGATTTATTCAAAGTTTGTTATGAGTAATTTTATCTTTACCCTCGTTTTTATTTAAACTTATTTACTAAATTATTGCGTATACCGACACAAAAATGATTTTTAAATACCAAGATGTGTGTGATAGACGATTGTTTCTATACATATCTATTGATATGAAATTACCCACACATGTATATTGTGTAAATGATAGTTGTGTCGATGTGTAGCGCCGCTAACTAATTAACGGTGCTTTGTGTACAAAACATAACTTACTTTACACCGAACTATGTTGAAGTTTATGAATTTTTTTTTACACCGACGAGCATGAATGAAAAGATTGATGACTGTTGATGAAGCGAAAGAGGTATGTAGAAATCATAGTAATTGGTGTTTCATAGTCTCTACCTACCCTCATGGGAGACAGGCGTGAAGTTATGTATGTATGAATTTATGAAGGAGTAAGAGCCTAATACTTTATTCATGGCAACGTGTGGTGGTGCATCAACGGTTTGATAATTCAAATTCTGACTCTTCGAGTCTTTCATGCTGTACAATGTATATATTGAGATTTCATTTACGATTTTAAATTATTTGTAGTAAAAGTATCTAACGTTGTATCTGGGATTTTAAAAACCGTCAACTACTACTGACCTAACCTAACTATACCCTCTGCATTTTGGAATCCTTTAATTTTGAGTAGCTTATTTACATTATTTTAGTATAGACTGCCTCGTTTGCTGAGCACTTAGAGTATTTAACCAAAAATACTCTAAGGCTGGGCATGGAGACTTGGGTTTGATTCCCAGGTCGGGCAAGTATTACTGTATTTTTTTTTTGCTTAGTAGTAGCACGAAGTCTGAAATTGTACCCGGTATATGGCAATAGGCTCACTCCCTTTTATATGGGAACATAAATAGTGGAAAGTGGGTGTTATATTTTTCAATGGTATTAATTGCCATAATCTGCACGTTTGCCTACTTCTTCGGAGCTAAAAGGCGTGATGCTATATTATGTAACCTATGTATATTGGTAATAGCTAAAAAAAGTGCAGTATCTTATATCTTTTTCTCTGTTTACAGGTAAAGCGGGAGGATGGCGAGATTATTTCGACGAGGAGATGTCGCAGCAAGCTGAGAAATGGATCGAGGACAACCTGAAGGATACTGATCTGCGCTTCCCTCCAACAAAATAATAATTTCACTTATAATAGTATCATATTTAATAACACATAAATGCAATTTATGTGGTTCTACATCTTCCACTTATTAATTACTTTAATAAAATACATTATGGTATTATGGCTAAATTGTTGCAGTTGCATTATAATAATACAGGTACTTCCATGCCGATATAGATGATAAGAGATAATTTATCCATATATTTGAATTATATCATATATATATAAAGATATATTATATACCTACGTTTATCGTCATGACGTTTCTTTTCAATAAATACGAAATAAACCTAAACCTGAAGGATGATAAAAACGCAATAAACCAAAAAGTTGTCATCATAGAACATTAACTAAAAATCGCGGGTTACATACGTGAAAATATTGAGAAAAGCTCTACTACTTTCGAGCCACAGAGGGGCTCTTCCTCATGAGCAGCATGCGCAGTCGCGGCGATGTCGCGCAGCCTACTGCGTGAAACTAGTAGAGCTTTTCTCAGTACTTTCACGTCAGTAACCCGAGATTTTTAGTTAATTTAGTATGTCTCACGATAGTTATTACAAAAACATCATAGAACATAGTTAATATACACCACGTGTTTATGGTATTAATGTTTTGGCGTGGTGTTTGGGCAATTGACTGCCGCGGAATGTGTCGCGGGTTGGAATCCCACACGGAACAACTCTTTGTATACTACTTTTATGTTTGTAAACGCACACACGACACAGGAGAAAAAACAAGGGTGGGGTAACTTCTTATAAAAAAAATCTTAATTCAGAGACAAGATGTCACGAAAATTATTTAAATTATAAAAATTGTTCAGTGAAGAATGCAATGAAACTCAAAATAACTGATTGTTTACTAGGAAATCTTTGAACACATTTTTACATAACATACTTACTTAAGAATTATTTGATTAAATATTATTAACTCTATGAAGATAATAAGTGAACTGTATAAGACATTGTATTATGACGCAATAAATAGTTGTATATTAACAGCGAATAATATTTGCTGTACCATTAAGTGTGTCAAGAAATATGACAATGTCCTCAATGTTAGACACTTACCTTTATTGCAAATGTTTTGGTGAAAAAGCAAAAGTAAAAGTGTATTTCTTAGAGCCTTTTATATACATACGTACGTTTAAAAAAACCGTCTTCAATCACCTATTATTTGAAGCCGGTTAATTCGTAAGTGTCACTTTTGTGAAAACCACATCAAAATCGGTTCCGCCAATCGTGAGATATTCGTGCATAAACATACATACATACATAACTGCATATATACTACACACATTGAAGTCAGTTAATGATACATCACTTTGTAGTGGCCCGGAGGTTTACGACGCCCGCTTTTCATGCATGAGGGTTCGAAACCTACCAACGGCAAATACCAATGTGACTTTTTCCGAGTTATATTATGTACTTTCTAAGATTATTCAGACACCACTGACAAACGGTGAAGGAAAACATCGTGAGGAAACCTGGGCTTATAATTTCTAATTATAAATTTGTAATCACCAACCCGCATTGAGCAAGCGTGGTGATTAATGTTCAAACCTTCTCCGTGTGAGAAGAGGCTTTGCTCAGCAGTGGGCATTTAAAGGCTGTTGATGAATGATACATCACTGTAAACAGGTAAACAGTTGCTGAACTAGTTATTCCAACTCCCGGTAATCCCGGAATACAATACAGTAGACTGACTCAATACAAATTACAATGTTTAGGTAGTAAGGAGTTCATTTACTTGTAAGACATCGGGCATTGACATCTTCCAGAACTCTGTTTACTTATCATAATGCTCCGTTGTGACCCTCGCGATAGTCAAATTGGCAAAAACTGTGTAAAGGCGAGAACATAATACTTTATCTATACTATTATATAAAGTTGAACTGTTTGTTTGTTTGTCAGTTTGTTTGGACGAGCTAATCTTAGAAACAACTGGTTCGATTTGAAAAAATGTCCATTTATCGAGGAAGGCTATAGGCTATAAAATACACTATAGAAATATAATTATTTCTTTACTCTGACTTTTCAGCAGTTCAAATACACACAAAAATCTGCTCTCGTGTTATAGATGTCATTAAAATAATTCACGTAATAATTGAGATTTTTTAAATTGGGTAATTTCCTTAAACAAAAATAAATTATTTCGACTGTCCAGTACAATCAAATATTAAAAAAAATAATCATACTTTCATTAATTGATTTTATGACCAACTTAATTTTGGTATTTTTCCAGCAAATTTTTAATGCTAAATAAACGTGACGTCACAATACATAATCTCATTTTGTATGAGATTATGTATTGTGACGTCACGTTCATATTCATAGAAAACTGTAAAAAAAGTATTGAATTTGACTAGTTGGTAAGTACCCAATTTATTTTTATAAATAAAATAGACGATGTTTTCTACCGCGCGAAATAATCAACAAATTAGAGCGTTGGTGTGAAACCAGCTTTACGATGTTAGTTTTAAAGTCCAATTACTCTCCAGTATAACTACTGTGACTATACCACGTCGACCATATTTAAACCTAGGACTCTGCACGAGTCAGTATTTACTGCAGTTTGAACATAAAACGAAAATAATTGATTATACAGGAACACACCCTTAGAAGCTGACGTATTAACCTAATTTTATCGTTGCTTGTATCTATAAAAACATTGTTTTATAATAAACTATATTATTTACGTTTTATCGTTTATTTGGTACACAGTGACTTCAAGAAATTAATTAATAGATACGCAGTGTTGTACAAAATGAGTGAACAAAATGGTGGTTCGAATTTTCCTTACGAAAAAGAAGAATTGAAGCCTGAAGTGAAGGCGGAACTTGCTAAATATTATGCATGTAAGTAGCTATTTTGTAATATTCTTCCATAATATTGTAACAACTGTTTCTAATATTAGAAAAAATATATGCTTCTGGTCATTGACCGAGAAATTTTATCAGCTCCGATCATGTTTTTGTTGTTTTATTATTAGCCTACAATTTGAATTTATCCTTATCGCACTATAGTTATCCGAAACATTTATCATGTACCTACGCAATTGGGTACTTTCCTTAATTAAAAATAAATTATTACGACGGTTCAATACTATAAAATATTAAAAAATAATCACACTTTCATTAATTGATTTTATGACCAACTTAATTTTAGTATTTATCCAGCAAATAAAAAAAAAATAAGTATACCGTTTGACGCTAAAAAAAACTTTTGAGTTCGAAAAAAGTATTGAATTTGACTTGAATTTTCAAATTAACAAATTCTGCCAGCAACGGTTTCACCTGCGTTCCAGGGATAAAACATTACATACATACATAACTTCATGACTGTCTCCCATGGGTGTAGGCAGAGAACGCCAATTGCTACGATTCTTGCATACCTCAGTCGCTTCATGGACAGTCGTAAATTTTTTCATGCATGTTCGTCGGTTAAAGGTACTTTTATTTTGGCCCTTCTTTAATATATCGCCAATCTGGTCTGTATGGATAAAAATTACCCCATTGTTATTCCAGGCTATAATATCTGTATCAAAAATACAAAAACTCAGTAGATCAAATTTATACTCGTTACATAAGTACATACATACATAATGTTAAATTAAACAGGGCAAGGAGTTTATTAGCATTGACGTAGACGGTACGGTGGGTATGGAACCAAAAGAATGGTCCCAGACCCACATGCCATCGCCGCTAATTAGTCGAGTGATTTAAAAATGACTATTCGACTAGCAATTCATGAAATTAATAGTGTAGTGGAATAAATAAAGGGTAAAATACGTCGGTACCCTGATGAGAGCCTTGTATATGCGATTTTTGGTATTTGAGTATATTTGTGCATAAGAAACAAAATGTTACCACCGGTAGAGGTTTCACTCCGAAGCCCCGTCGGGAAACGGAAGGAAAATCGTCGACAGGTGATGGTAAGAACAAGTATAGTTTTCATAAAATTATGGAAATAAATGTTTCTTTTATGTAATTATAGTTGTAATCACCTGCTCAAGGCCGATGTTGCATAAATAACAAGAAAACAAAAACAATTAAAATTGTAAAAACAATTTCTTTTCATCAGCTGTTGCTTTTACACCCTGTATATTAGTAGTAGTAGACGTAGTAGTAGACGTAGTAGTAGTAGTCGTCGCCAGTAAAAATACTTAAGAGATACAATTTTGACTGAACAAACTCCATAAAAAATGTATTAAAATTTTATCTCTAATAAGTAAAATTTTATCTCTATAAAGAGATAAGTTTGTATTGTAACTTTCGTGAGAAATACTAAATAAATTATGATGTTTTCGGCTTACTCACGTAATAATTTGACGAGGAACTCGACTAGTTTCAAGCTACGTGAGTAAGCCGAAAACATAATAATTTATTAAGAGATAAACCAGCCATAAAAATATTGTAATTTGTTTTGAATGACAAACACAATAACGTCAATCCTGTTAATCCCCTTAACTGCAATGCTGATTATGCAAGTACCTACAATATCAGCTCATCATCTACTCGTATTATCGATGGAAATTTCCTTTCCTCATTAACGAAAAACATCAAGTAGCAAATTATTATCATCAATCACAAAATAAATATTTTTATGGATAATACTCACAATCAAGGCTAATAGATAGGCATTGAATGACAATGTAAAACAAGTATAGCCTAATGCAATCTGCATTAGTGACTGTGTTATTGACGCATATACTGAGCGTTCCAGCCGTTGCGGGAGACACTCCGGGCGTCGGAGATCGCGCGACCATCTCCGGCCACCGGACGGCGAGCAAGGGTAGCTCGCCGCCCGACCAGCACCAGACCCGTGCGTAAGGCTCGTAGCGTTCGGCGCGCGCCTCAAAGAGCCATCAGACCACCACAGATGGGGTCCAGTACGAAGCCGCGGAACGCCTAACGGGTTGCCGGGGCTCCGGCTCGAAGAGCAGGAGTAGGAACAGGGTGGTTTTTAGCCAGTAAGAGTCTGGCACGCCCCCAATCCAAGGCGGGAGAAGTAATTAGATGATTTTCCCCATTCAAAAAAAAAACAAAAAGGATTGAACGTTATGCTATTATCGAAGCATGGACCAGGCGTTACGCCAAAGAGTTTTGCATCTGCATTTGTATAATCTATAAATTGATGACCCTAGCGTACGGCGTGTCGCGTTCCGCACGCGCCTCAAAGAGCCATCAGACAACCACGGATGGGGCCCAACAAGGCTGATGCTGATTCGGAGTCGCGGAGAACCTAACCGGTTACCGGGGGGCTCCGGCTCGACGTGAAGGAGAAGGAACGGGGTGGTTTGTAGTCAGTAAGAGTCTGACACTCCCTCCTGCCTCAACCAGGCGGGAAGTCATTCGATGATTTCCGCCCTTAAAAAAATACATTGATTTTTTGTATGTTTACATGATACCCCCTGGCAGTCTGAGCGTGGATAAAAATTTTAAACTCAATCCCCCATTATTTGTCCTAAATACCTACGTTGTCATTAATAGATATTCATACGTAGGAACATGACATAAGATGATTGCCAGCTCTATTAAATTATTACTGTAATTTAACACAGATTAATAAAAAGAACACCTCTCATAAAGATAACGTTATTCCTTGTCGTTAGTATCGTAAATTCAATGCAGTTTTTTATTATAGACAGGTACCATTATGAACATTTTATAAGGTCCAAGTCATAAAAAGATATTTTGAGATTTTATCTAATACGCCATAATGTGACAGTTATTTTTTTATGTAAAACTTGCGCATTATGTACATACATGCATATTTACAATTCTACATCCTATCCTATTGAGTCAAGTGCCAATGTTTGTTATATGTGGATGGGTTATTAGGTACTGTTTGTTCCAATTCCATCACATCGCGAAGGGTGAAAGGATATGAATGTTTTAACAAACACGAAAGTTATATATTGCAGCTACCATGTGCTGACTAAAGCCATAGACAGAAACTGAGTCTAAAGCCTAGCTAAGTTTAGATTCTAAACAGAACAATGGGGAGGGTTCAAGTACCTATCGCTTAATCTGATCACGTAATTCACCAAACCCCAGTCGCAAGACGACACGACCACACCAATTTTACCTACCTGCTGATAATGTAGCTTCATCTAGCTTTATCCTTTTACTGAAAATTTCTTAGTAGATTCGATTAATTCCAAATATTTATGTTTTTTTTCTGCCCTCGAGCAAATCGAGGTGTTAATAATTATTTAATAATATTTTTAATCGTGGTTATATGATCTGTATTTACAGCGGAGCCAGATTTTGTGACTGTCGGACCAAAGAAGTACATATTCCTTCGTCCTTACTTGGAAGATGTGGAGAATGTGTACCATATGCCGCTGCGGCCCAGTGATGTCTTCGTGGTTACATACCAACGATCAGGTGACGTGTCTATATTTATTTATAAGATAGGAGCGACAAATTAGTAGACGGATCACCTGATGGTACGCAATCGGCGCCGCCCATGGACACCCTCAACACCAGAGGAGTCACAAGAGCATTACCTACCGGCCATTTGTGGGGTTTGGGGATTTGAGACTTAAGGATTAGGGGGCTTTATATGGGTCGTGGACCACCAGAGACCACCACGCCCGCTTCTCATGCATGAGGGTGTGGGTTCGAAACCTACCAACGGCAAGTACCACTGTGACATTTTCTGGGTTATATGTACTTTCTAAGATTATCTAGATACCACGGACAAACGGTAAACGAAAACATCGTGAGGAAACCTTGGCTTATAATTTTTTATTATAAGTTTATAATCGCCAACCCGCATTGAGCAAGCGTGGTGCTTAATGCTCAAACCTTCTCCGTATGAGAAGAGGCTTTGCTCAGGAGTGTGCATTTAGAGGCTGTTGATGATGAAGGGGACTTAACACTAAAATATTCCCTTAACGTTTAATAACGTCTTGGTTTAGAAATGCTTAGATGGCCGACTGACATCATTATGGTTTTGGACCTGGATTAAATTTAAAAAAGAATCTCGTTATTTGGTCGAATTGGCAATAGCAATGAATGTTTGCAAAACGAGTTAGCCGACTAGGTCCAGCCGCTTTTTAGCTTTTATTAGCAATTCACTAAGCAATTTATTTTTAGTATTAGAAAAAGACGATATTAATTAACATCTAGGTGTTGGATATTTTATATGCTTTTTATATGTCGGTAATCTTTGAAAGAAAGATTGTTCGATTTCGACCACTTTTTTATAAAGGCGTTAGTCTTGGTTCTTTAATTGAGTATCAGTGAGTTGGCCATCCTCGTAAATATGGATACATATAGCTATTCTATACTGATATTCATGTTTAGGTACCACGTGGACCCAAGAGTTAGTGTGGCTGCTAGCTAATGACTTGGACTACGAAACTGCTGCCAAGATACCAATTACCGAGAGATATCCTTTCCTGGAGTGAGTATTTTATTGTGATGTTACTATTTCTTGTTATTTGTATTCGTTAACATAGCCCCTGTAATGTCATATGGACCTTCAGTAATGTGTATGTAAATGTCATTCACACACAGATTATTCATGTTCTTCAACAAGGAATGGCAGCAGGATTTACTCGAAAGATATGAGGACAAAGACAAGGCTCTAGACTTGATAGAGAAAATAGCTAAACCCGTGTCAGAGAGACTACGACTTGCTCCATCCCCTCGCTTCATCAAGTCTCATCTTCCAATGTGTCTTTTGCCTCCAAAAATCCTGGATACTGCGAAGGTGGTGTACGTGGCTCGAGACCCCAGAGACGTAGCTGTGTCCTGCTATCACCACTCCAAGTTGTTCAAAGTGTTAGACTTCCCAAGCCCGTTCAAAGATTTTTGGAACCTGTTTATAAGAAATCTGTGTAAGTGCAAAGATTTTTAGTTACAAAAAACCTACTTCGTAACTTAATAGTTGATTCATTTAAAAAGTGCGAAAAAAATAGACAGGTTTTCGTTCTGGTCAAAATCAAATCAAATAGAATCAAATCAAATCGTCTTTATTGTGGACTATAGGTATGCATCATGAATACAGATCTTAAATAATTAAAATAAGTACAGCTATGTCCCGCCGTTGAGGCATACAATAATAAAACACAAAACAGAATTTAAATACAATTAGTCATATTTAGTCTCAATACAGTTTTAAAATATTCCAAACTACAGATTCAATTTTCATATATGTATAGTGTGTATATAATCTACAGTTCATATATACATGTATTATTAAAGTAACTTTTTTTATATATTGCAGTCACCGAGACACCATTTTTCGAGCACGTGAAAGAGGCATGGGAGATGAAAGATCACCCGAACATGCTGTTCTTATTCTATGAGGAACTAATTAAGGTATCTGGTTATTTTTTACCTAGGTACTGATTTAAATCTGACTGCATTATTGGCCGACTGGTCACCAGTGCGACTGCCGAACAAGGGGTATCGGGTTCGATTCCCGGGGCGGGCAAAGTATTAATGAGTTTCTAAAAACCTCAGTAGTAGCACGGAGTTCAGAAATAATTCCAAACTTCAGGCTCACACCCTATTACATGGGATATAACATAAATAGTAAAAAGTGGGTGTTATATTGTACAGTGGCATAATGTGCACCTCTGCCTACCCCTTTGGGGATGTTATGGCATAATGTTATGTTATGTTGTGAGTTAAAGCTTTAGTTGAATCATGATATGAACGTTATCCAATAATTCGTCGATAAACATTTCAATAGACGATGAACCCATAAAGTTAGCTATAAAATATTTCAATATAAATGAGTCTTAAAATTTCATTTGAATGACTAAGAACGATTTCCTAAAATCCTTGGTGTATTTATAGGATTTGCCAGCTGCCATTCGTCGCGTGGCAGACTTTTTAGGGAAAGAGGTGACACCTGAACAGATGGCCCGCCTATGTGACCACCTCAGCTTCGAAAACTTTAAGAAAAACGAATCTGTTAACTATGAAGAATTAAGAGAATATGGTGTCCTTTCTTCCGAGGAAAAGTTTATGAGGAAAGGTGAATATAATTAATAAATAAGAATAAAAAGCTAATATATTAATTTGTGTCAAAGTCAAAGTCAAAGCATTTATTTCAATTAAACCATAGTTTGGTACTTTTGAAACGTCAACAAATACAAAAAAAATAATAGTCTGTCAGTCAGTCCGTCAGTGAAACTAGGTGAAGCTAGGTGTGTTCTTACGAATATGTTTTTAAAATGAAAGAAATACTTAAACTTGTTCATTAACTATGTTTGTACTATGTGTTCAACTTTACAGACGCAGTAAAATTTAAGTCACATTTTACAATACTGTGACCAATTAACTACATATATGAAATATAATATAATGTTTATGTTCCCAGGTAAAGCGGGAGGCTGGCGTTCCTACTTCGACGAGGAGATGACACAACAAGCTGAGAAATGGATCGAGGACAACCTGAAGGACACAGACCTGCGCTTCCCTACTGTTAATTAAGTTATATAATTATGTTCCCATACTCTTGATAATTAAATTAAAACATATAAGTGAAATAATTTATATTTATGTTTAAATGTTTACATTAAGCTAAGTAAATGGTAATAAGACGAACAAAAAAATAAATTACTGTTATTTTCTTTGTCCTTAACTTCTAGAACTTCATCCCACAATTGTATATACGAATACTAGCAATTACAATTGTACACAACACACATAACATAAATAAGTACGATTGCAATTAGAAAATCTACAATCGCACCAGTTAATCCGTATTTACTAAGCTATCTTACGACGTAGGCCTCCTCAAGGCCTTTCCACATACATATTAGATCTTAAGAAAGGCTAGGAGAGGAGAGGCCCATTTTCAGCACTGAACGGAAACGGGCTGGTGATGATGATGATCTAAAACCACTCCTTTTTATAGTTACCATCATGATACGTCAAACTTACTAATATTATAAATGCGACTGTGAGTTTGTGTGTATGTTTGTTACACACAAACTCACTTAAATTTGGAACAGGGATAGAGCATGATTTGAACTAACACATTATACTACTTTTTACCCTACAGGAACGCGGTCGAAGGTCGCGGGCAGAAGCTAAGTAACTAAAAATAAACGTTTATTCTCGTGAATATGCTGAGAAAAGATCTATACTACTAGTAGACTCTACTAGCTACTTATCTAGCGAGTAGGTATCGTCGCGTCCGCGCACTTTGCTCATACGGAAGAGTCCCTGTGTGACTCAAAACTTGTCGAGCTTCTCTCAGTAAATTTCCGTGATAAAATTTTTTAGTTAATAAAGCTCTTCTCTGTCTACATTCCATTCATTTTACTTACTCCTTTTCATTCCTCTTTGGCCTTTGGCGATTGTCTGGGTTTCCCAAGTTTAGAACATATAGGAAGACGCGGAACAATACAAGTATTGAAGACCTTTCTTGTAATGCTAAATCCACGGCAAATATTTTCTATAAAATATGATATTGTAATTGTAATAAACAACAAAGTGTTCACACCTCCTCGTGCTTAAATACTTATGTAATTACTTTATTATCGTTAACTTATCTCAATCTTAATGCAGCCATATTAATATTTAGGTAATTTGCCTACATTATTGCAGTCACTGTGTTATAGTTTCAGTCCTAACACACCACGTTGTCTTGGTGATTCTGTTTAAAATACTTTACAATGGCAGATGAAAATATTTTGCCATATCCTTACGAATTTTATGATTTAACCGATGAAGAAAAGAGTCTTAACGATAAACTTCACAATTGTAAGTACTTATTATAATTGTATTAATTTACGTAGGTAATGTGTTGAGAAGTAATTTGCACAGTGGAGCTAAGGCATGCTGAGGTCTTTTTATTAGGTTTATATTTTGTCATTTAAGATGTAGGTAATAATTTAGTCGAATTCAAAATATATTTTTCCACTTTCTACAATTTATCATCCATCTTAAAAATACATAATGTGTCGCCTCTAATCTCAAGAGGCACAGAACATATAGAGAAGATAAAGGGTATACAGTTATACACAATGCATAACATTTTTGTATTTATTACATTATCAATTTTCATTTCTTATAGATCCATATGAATTAGCTCGTCTTGGCCCCAAAGGCTATATAGTCACCAAAGCTTTCAAAAAGGATGCTGCTAACATCTACAACCTGCCTTTAAGGTCCAGCGACATATTTGTCACCACTTATCAGCGATCAGGTATGATCTGATGTCTACCTTTAATACATTTTTACAAAAACCTATATTAGTAAAATAATTTCTATGATGGATGAAACCATAGAGCAACACAGGCCACCAGCTGACCGATGACACATTTGATTTCAACTGCTCCGATTACGCCCTTATTTTACGTATGACGTTGTGATCGTAGGAATACGAAATGGATTAATTAATTTTATTTATCAACAGATAATACGTACAAATTAAAAACAGAACATGTAATCTATTTTGAGCTTATATCGCATATCATTAAGTATTTTTGTGATCCAGGTTGCCATTGTTCCGTTTTCCTAGATTTACACACTTCACACCACAATTCCACCAGATCCCATTGTTAATCTTTGAAACATGACGTCATTCATATGTTACAGGAACAACGTGGACTCAAGAATTGGTGTGGCTTCTGGCAAGTGACCTAAATTATGAGAAAGCGTTGACTGTTCCACTCATCGAAAGATATTCATTTCTGGAGTTGGTATAATTTTTACAAAATATTCATTTTTCTCTCAAGGAATTACAAAAATATGAACATTGCCACTATGTAAAGAAGACGAAATGATGAACTTTACATATATGTATTACATTATGGGACTCCGATAGAAAGATTAAAAATTTTATGAAGCAGAGAGAGTTTTTAACTATACATAATTATTCGTCAGTTATTGAGTATTTATGCCTGGAATGTTTTACGAGAGTGTTGAAAATTGGCAATTTAGTAACTTTGCATAATTGCATTACCTGCGATGCAATTTAGCACCCCCCATGTATCCGTCCGAATGATCGAACAACTAACGAACATTTTATTTATTTCAGAATGTTCATGTTTATGCCTGACGCAGGATTAGAAAGTTTCATGAAGGTTGTGAGTCAGAATAATGAAAATTTTAATAAGGAAACGACGATGCAAATGGTTGAATGGCTCCGTACTCCGGTAACGCGCAACCTAGCCTCAAGGCCCTCACCTCGCTTTATAAAGTCCCACCTTCCCATGTCCCTACTGCCTCCAAAACTTTTAGATACAGCAAAAATGGTGTACGTCGCACGAGATCCCAGAGACGTGGCTGTATCATTCTATCATCACACCAGGCTATTCATGCATAATGGTTTTAAAGGAACCTTTAAGCAGTTTTGGCACCTATTCTGTGAGAGTTTATGTGAGTTTAGAAATAAATATTCTTTGTTAAATAAACTTGAAATAAGTGATTTAATTAACAGAAGTCTATCTATAGATCTTTAATGGAAAAAACAGACCACCTTAGTCACCTTACGAGGTAGAATATGTATATTGTTATTCAGGTGCCTTACCTTACCTGCACAAATAAATAATTGTAGAAATACAGGGAAGGTTTTTGCTAGCACTGAAAAACATATTATGTAGCTGAATCTATTTAATTTCCAGTGGTGTTGACCCCATTCTTCGAGCACGTCAAAGAAGCTTGGGAGAAGAGACATGACCCGAACATGCTCTTCCTGTTCTATGAAGATTTGTCAAAGGTATAAAGTTGTAAATGTTATAACAAGTGGAACTACATCACAAAGTCAACAAATAACAAAAAGTTTCCTTAAATATGAAGTTGATGTCGCGGAGAACCTAACGGGTAACCGGAGCTCCAGCTCGACGTGCAGGAGAAGGAACGGGGTGGTTTTTAGTCAGTAAGAGTCTGACACTCCCTGCAGTCATTCGATGATGACTCTTAAAAAAAAATCAATTTGATATTTGTTTTACTGTGAAAGTTGTCGAAAGCAGTTTATGAATGGTTTTTTCGTCGTGTCCTTAGGACTTACCTGCTGCAGTTAAACGCGTGGCGGACTTCTTGGGTAAGAAGTTGGATGACGCCCAAACAGCTGCTCTCTGTGACCACTTGAGTATAGAGAACTTTAAGAAAAACAAAGCTGTCAACTTTGAGGAGCTCAGAGGACTCGGAATGTTCGCAAAAGACGAAGTATTTATTAGAAAAGGTATTAAAACAAATAGTTTATATAACCCGATGAAATTGAATTGAAAAGACGTCAAAAAAGAAAATGCAGAATACTAGCGTAATATTGGCACATATGCACAAAAATACCACATCAAAGGCTTTTCATATCATAATGTAAGTGGAATAAATTAATATGAGTTATTCAAAGATTTAATTCACGATTACCAGGTAAAGCTGGAGGCTGGCGAGACTATTTCGACGAGGAGATGACACAACAAGCTGAGAAATGGATCGAGGACAACCTGAAGGACACAGACCTGCGCTTCCCCACTGTCAAATAAATATTTAAATTATATTATTATATAATTTCAACCAAAACCGTATTCGGTTCCTATACTGGTGATTATGAAATTAACACATACAAATAAAATAATTTATATTTATGTTTAAATATTTACTTAATATCACGCCTTTTAGCCCCGAAGGGGTAGACAGAGGTGCACATTACGGCACTTAATGCCAACGTACAATGTAACACCTATATTTCACTATGTATGTTATGAGTCCCATGTAAGCATATTGCCATATAGGTACCGGGCACATTTTCAGACTCTGTCCTACTACTACTGAGAATTATTGTAAAACCCAGCAACACTTTGTCACGCACTTTTCCCGACCCGGGAATTGAACCCGAGACTCTTTGCCTTTGACACTTCCGAACACTCAGTTAAAGAGGCAGGCATTTTGTATGTCCTTAACTTCTAGAGCTCGTCTAAGTTGAAATAATGCATCCCACAATTGTATATACGAATACTAGCAATTACAATCGTACGCAACACAATGAACATAAATAAGTACGATTACAATTAGAAAATCTACAATCGCACCAGTTAATCCGTATTTACTAAGCCAAGCTGTCTTACGACGTAGGCTTCCTCAAGGCCTTTCAACACACATATTAGTTAAACGCACATATTAGTGCACCGAAACGGATTGATGATGATGATGATGATCTAAAACCACTCCTGTTTATAGTTACCATCCTGAGACACTTACTTTCTAAGTTTATTTAAGCACCACTGACAAACGGTGAAGGAAAACATCGTGAGGAAACCTGGGCTTATAATTTCTAATTATAAGTTTGAAATCGCCAACCCGCATTGAGCAAGCGTGGCTCATGCTAATGCTCAAACCTTCTCCGTGTGAGAAGAAACTTTGGTTAGCAGTAGACATATTTTTTTAAAGGGGGAATATCATCGAATGACTGCTCCCGCCTGGGTGAGGCAGACTCTTACTGACTAAAAACCACCCCGTTCCTTCTCCTGCACGTAAATATGCTGAGAAAAGTAGTGAAGTACTTTGTGGGCTCTACTAGTTACTAGTTAGCGAGTAGGTATCGTCGCGTCCAACCACTTTGCTTATAAGAAAGAGTCCCTGTGTAACTCAAAACTTGTCGAGCTTTTCTCAGTAAATTTTCGTGACTAAATTTTTTTCTTAATAAAGCTCTTCTTTCTCTACATTCCATTCATTTTACCTACTCCTTTTCATTCCTCTTTGGCCTTTGGCGATTGTCTGGGATTCCCAAGTTTAGAATATATAGGAAGACGCGGAACAATACAAGTATTGAAGACCTTTCTTCTCATTACGCTAAATCTACAGTAAATATTTTCTATAAAATATGATATTGTCATAAATTACAAAGTGTTCTCACCTCCTCGTGTTCAAATATTTATGTAATTACTTTATTATCGTTAACTTATCTCAATCTATGCAGCCATATTAATATTTAGGTAATTTGCTTACATTATTGCAGTCACTGTGTTACTACCACGTTGTCTTGGTGATTCTGTTTAAAATACTTTACAATGGCAGATGAAAATATTTTGCCATATCCTTACGAATTTTATGATTTAACCGATGAAGAAAAGAGTCTTAACGATAAACTTCACAATTGTAAGTACTTATTATAATTGTATTAATTTACGTAGGTAATGTGTTGAGAAGTAATTTGCACAGTGGAGCTAAGGCATGCTAAGGTCTTTTTATTAGGTTTATATTTTGTCATTTAAGATGTAGGTAATAATTTAGTCGAATTCAAAATATATTTTTCCACTTTCTACAATTTATCATCCATCTTATAGATACATAATGTGTCGCCTCTAATCTCTAGAGGCACAGAATATATAGAGAAGATATAGGGTATACAGTTATACACAATGCATAACATTTTTGTATTTAGTATTACATTATCAATTTTCATTTCTTATAGATCCATATGAATTAGCTCGCCTCGGCCCCAAAGGCTATATAGTCACCAAAGCTTTCAAAAAGGATGCTGCTAACATCTACAACCTGCCTTTAAGGTCCAGCGACATATTTGTCACCACTTATCAGCGATCAGGTATGATCTGATCTACCTTTAATAATTTTTACAATAACCTATAATTGATTTATATCAACCGCTCCGATTACGCTCTTATTTTACGTGTGATGTTGTGATCGTAGGAATTCCCGTACGAAATGGATTAATTAATTTAATTTATCAACAGATAATACGTACAAATTAAAAACAGAACATGTATTCTAGACTTACACACTTCACACAATCATTCCATCAGATCCCATTGTTAATCTTTGAAACATGGCGTCATTCATATGTTACAGGAACAACGTGGACTCAGGAATTGGTGTGGCTTCTGGCAAGTGACCTAAATTATGAGAAAGCTTTAACTGTTCCACTCATCGAAAGATATTCATTTCTGGAGTTAGTATAATTTTTACAAAATATTCATTTTTCTCAAAGAAGACGAAATGATGAACTTTACATATATGTATTACATTAGTAGACTCCGATAGAAAGATTAAAAATTTTATGAAGCAGAGAGAGTTTTTAACTATACATAGTTTTTCGTCAGTTATTGAGTATTTTTGCCTGGAAAGTTTTACGGGAGTATTGGAAATTGGCAATTTAGTAAACTTTGCATAATTGCATTACCTGCGATGCACTTTAGCACCCTCCATGTATCCGCCCGAATGATCGAACAACTAACGAACATTTTATTTATTTCAGAATGTTCATGTTTATGCCTGACGTAGGATTAGAAAGTTATATGAAGGTTGTGAGTCAGAATAATAAAAATTTTAATAAGGAAACGACGATGCAAATGGTTGAATGGCTCCGTACTCCGGTAACGCACAAGCTAGCCTCAAGGTCATCTCCTCGCTTTATAAAGTCCCACCTCCCCATGTCCCTACTGCCTCCAAAACTTTTAGATACAGCAAAAATGGTGTACGTCGCACGAGATCCCAGAGACGTGGCTGTATCATTCTATCATCACACCAGGCTATTCATATTGACTGGTTTTAAAGGAACCTTTGCGGAGTTTTGGCATCTGTTCTGTCAGAATTTATGTGAGTTTAAAAAAAAAGATTCTATGTATGAAATAAACTTGAAATAAGTGATTTAATCAAGAGAAGTATGGTATTTATAGATCTTTAAAAACAGACCACCTTACAAGGTAGAATGTGTTATTCAGGTGCCCTTCCTTACCTGCACAAAAGAATAATTGTAGAAATATAAGGAAGCTTATTGCTAACACTGAAAAATATATTTAATTTCCAGTGATGTTGACACCATTCTTCGAGCACGTCAAAGAAGCTTGGGAGAAGAGACATGACCCGAACATGCTCTTCCTGTTCTATGAAGATTTGTCAAAGGTATAAAGTTGTAAATGTTATCAAAAGTGGAACTGCATCACAAAGTCAACAAATAACAAAAAAAAATCCTAAAAATCAATTTATTACTGTTTTGACATGACTGTTTATGTAAGTCGTCGAAAGCAGTTCATGAATGGTTTTTTCGTCGCGTCCTTAGGACTTACCTGCTGCAGTTAAACGCGTGGCGGACTTCTTGGGTAAGAAGTTGGATGACGCCCAAACAGCTGCTCTCTGTGACCACTTGAGTATAGAGAACTTTAAGAAAAACAAAGCTGTCAACTTTGAGGAGCTCAGAGGACTCGGAATGTTCGCAAAAGACGAAGTATTTATTAGAAAAGGTATTAAAACAGCTAGTTTATATAACTTGATTAATTATCATTAAATTGAAGAGACATTAATTAAAGAAAATGCACAATATTGGCACATAGGCACACAAAGACCACATCAAAAGAATGCTATAAATTATTATATGTAAGTGGAATAAATTAATACGAGTTATTCAAAGATTTAATTCTCGATTACCAGGTAAAGCTGGAGGCTGGCGAGACTATTTCGACGAGGAGATGACACAACAAGCTGAGAAATGGATCGAGGACCACCTGAAGGACACAGACCTGCGCTTCCCTACTGTCAAATAAATATTTAAATTGTATAATACTGTTACTATACTGGTGATAATAAAATTAAAACATATGAATAAAATAATTTATATTTATGTTTAAATATTGACTTAAGATCACGCCTTTTATCCCCGAAGGGGTAGACAGAGGTGCACACAGAACTAACACCCACTTTTCACTATTTATGTTATGAGTCCCATGTAATAGGGGGTGAGCCTATTGCCATATAACGGGCACAATTCCAGTATCCGTGCTACTAAATAAAATATCTTTTTAAAAACCGAGTAATACTTTGCCCGACCCGGAAATCGAACCCGCCCGGCAGTCGCACTTGCGACCACTAGGCCAACGAAGCAGATTTTTGAAGATTAAATTATTAAAATGTAGGACTTGCTTTTCCCTTTACCCGAGCGTACGTGTGACTTCTCTTGGTGAGGCGGGAAGGAGTGTCAGACTCTTACTGACTAAAAACAACTTTGTTCCTACTCCTGCCCTTCGAGCCGGAGCCTCGGCAACCCGTTAAGTCCTCGGCGATTCCGTATCGGCATCGCCCCTATTGGGCCCCATCTGTGGTGGTCTGATGGCTCCTTGAGGCGCGACGCGCCGTACGTTCTGACGTTCTGGTCTGGTCTTGGTCGGACGGCGAGTCACCAATGCTCACCGCCCGCAGGCCCGTCCTTACAGTGGTCGGAGATCGTCTCACGATCCCCGACGCCTAGAGAGTCTCTCGCGACGGCTGGGGCGTGAAGAGGTTCGTTCCTTAACTCGTCGAGTACCGGTTTTATAGACACAATTAAAGAACAATAGGTCGCGGTCACCGGTGACCGCTTGGTGTTTGACAGATTAACTAGCATGACTGCTTCGCAAAATGAAAAGACAGCATCCCAGTCCCCCTCGCTCCGTACCATACCTTGACATCGCCGTCACCGATCGCATCCCTGAGGACACGATGGTGCTCAGACCACGCAGGGTACGCCACCACCGTGTGCTCCACCGTATTCTCCGGGCGGACCTCGCAGTGGTGACACTCGGGCGTTTCTTCCCGCCCAGTCCGAAACAGGAACCTACCGTAACTTCTGTGCCCGGTAAGCACCTGCGTCAGGTGAGAACGCCGTAGAGTCTCTCAAGCCACTTCTCAAAGAGGGGACTTGCCGCTGCAATGACGGCGAGCCCAGCAATCTGTTTCGACATCCGTTGCTGCCATTCGGCCATGAGAACTTGCCGGAACACATCCCGCCACGTACTTATCTGGCGCGGCAACGGAGTTTCACTCCGGCGACGTGCAGCGCCTTCGCCTCTAGATCCCACGGCGATAATCCGGCAACATAATGTTTCACCTAGTAGTTAATATTGTTCATAATAATGCTTATACTGAAGGTTTTCAAAATATACGAATGTTTCACGTCATTAAGAGATAAGATAACATGCAAAACAACAAAAATGGGGAAAACGTATTAATAAATAATATGCAAAATGCAATAATATTGCTACATCGGATGACACACCTTTTTTGGCGAATGACTTTGCAAGTAGACTGACCTATATGCAAAGTCATCGTTAAAAAAGGTGTGTCTGGGTAGTAACTAAATAATGAATATACAATTAAAACAAAATAAAAGCATTACTGGCGAATTCATAAGTTGACCTAGTGGTCGCTTGGACTACTGTCGGGCTTTTTCCTGACTTTATACCAAGTACATACTTTAAACAAAATAAGTTAACCGTAAAATATTCTTCGCCTACAACGACTACATTAATTTTTCCTATTCCATATCCATAGACGTGTAAACCAGAATAAAACACTATTTGATATTATTTCCACAAAACCTTTATTTACCTTTTTAAGTTTTTATATTGTCATTTCTCGATTTATGACTTTATTGTCCACTTTTTTTTTGCATTCTCAAGATTTATTATATTATCCTGTTCGTCTCAAGTTTTGACCGTTTCTTTAGTTTACATTATAATCCCGTCCTTCCTTCTTTAGCATACCTCACATCCTAATCTTTGTTGAATTTTATGCCCTACGTAAATTTACTTTTTTTCTGCTTATTGGCAACCGAGTCTTCATTACAGTGTGGTCAACTCACGGTCAACTATACTGCCAGTTGGTGTCGAGTGATGACGGCACGTTATATTCTTTTCTTGCTACATCAACAACTAATATTTTTTCTTGCAATACAAACTTTTTTCTTGCATAAATCCACAACAAATTAAAAAAAAATCTCTCTGTAATACAATACAACAAACATACCTCGCATTTCATGTACCTATAGCTATAATCACATGATTATCTTTAACTTATCTTTTACTTAAATGAAAACAGCAATATTTATATGTAATTTCTTTTTGTTATTGCAGTGTCCTTGCTTCAGTTTAAGTTCTCACACACCTCTTCAAACTTGTCTCTGAATCGGTTGTTTTGATTTTTACAATGGGAGATGAAAATAATTTGCCGTATCCTTTCGAATTTCGTGATATTACTGACGAAGAAAAGTTGGTTATAGACAAACTCCATGATTGTAAGTATTAATTTTATATTATTTACATAATGTATGGAAGATGTCAATAAAAAGGAAAATACAATGGTCACCGTATCTCTCCCATAAGTAGTCTTAAATCTTATGTAATAAAGAAATGTTAAAACCAATTGCGTAATGTGTATGATTGTAAACGTAAAGTAACGACGCTCTCGCTCTCGCGCTTTAATCTCTAACAAAGTGGTATTCTATGGCATTAAAAAGTGAATTTTAATAAACAAGTTTGAACGTATAAGTTTAATTGATTTTTCTTACCATATGAGAATGATAGATGCTAGTTAGGTTAATACAGAAACGGTCGCCATAGCCGAAAGCGGCATAGAAAGACTGTATTTCAAATAACTAGGTTGACTGGACATTAAATTGATTCCTATACATATTTAACTTTATTAATATTATTCCTTACAGTTCCATATGCATCAGAATTAGCTCGCCTCGGCCCCAAGGGTTATATAGTCAACAAAGCTTTCAAAAAGGATGCTGCTAACATCTACAATCTGCCTTTAAAGTCCAGCGATATATTTGTTACCAGTTATCAGCGGTCAGGTATGGCGTGATCAACAAATCAAACAAATCTTAATAACATTTTTTTGATGACGGGAGGAAACCTTCGAAATGCATTTAGCTTTTTGGAGAGAAGGATTGGGAAACCCACAAAAGGGAGTGTGAGATTTTTACCTAAATAAACCACCCTCGTGGCTACATCCACCGCCTGTAAAGGCGCTAGTAGGTACACAGGATTTTTTGCATTGGACTAACAATGGCATCCAAATTTCAGTTACCACTTTCAGGGTACATAAAGTTGGTTTATCTCTATTCTCTATAGAGGGAAACTAAGCCTATCCTTAATATAGACCTACTACGCTTGCTAATTCTTAAAATAAAATTTAATGTCGTCTTTCGTATATTGCAGGAACTACATGGACTCAAGAACTGGTGTGGCTTCTAGCAAGTGACTTGGATTATGAAAAAGCTTTAGCTGTTCCACTCGTCGATAGATATTCATTTCTGGAGTAAGTACAAGTATTATAGTTACTTTGACAGTCTTTTCTTTACAAAAATATGAACGAAGCATTGTCACCAAGTAAAGAAAGCGATACGGAGGTCCGGCTGTATATTATGACGAAAAGATTACAAATATTATAAAGCAGACAAAATTTCTAAGCACTCTATCCACAATTTATTGAATATGTCACTTGTTTCAGAATGTTTATGTTTGTACCGGACGCAGGATTAGACAGTTTCATAAACACTGTGAGTCAGAATACTGAAAATTTTAATAAGGAAACGATGCTACAAATTGTTAATTTTCTCGGTACTCCAGCATCGCGTAAACTTGCCATTACGCCGTCACCTCGTTTTATAAAGTCCCACCTTCCTATGTCCCTACTGCCTCCAAAAGTTTTAGATACAGCAAAAATGGTGTACATCGCACGAGATCCCAGAGACGTGGCTGTATCATTCTATCATCACACCAGGCTTTTCATGTTGACTGGTTTTAAAGGGACTTTTAAGGAGTTTTGGCAACTGTTCCATGGGGATTTATGTAAGTTTAGATTAAATATAGCTTATTATTTATACAAAAAGATTATTGATAAGTGTAATATCATCCGAATGGGCAAGAAGGAACAGAACACACGACTAAGACTTTTTTCAACAGTAATAATATCTGTATCTCTCTCATTTCCAGTGGCGTTGACTCCATACTTCGAGCACGTCAAAGAAGCTTGGGAGAAGAGACATGACCCGAACATGCTCTTCCTGTTCTATGAAGATTTGTCAAAGGTATTAAGTTGCTAACGCTTTCATACCTTTGGAACTCCTTTAAAGAAATCGAACAACAAATAATAATCTTTCTAAAAACCAAGATGATAACTTTACTATGTGATCGAATATTTCTCTTATTATGTCCTTAGGACTTACCTGCTGCAATCCACCGTGTGGCGGACTTCTTGGGTAAAAAATTGGATGACGCCCAAACAGCAGCTCTCTGCGACCACTTGAGTATAGAGAACTTTAAGAAAAACAAAGCTGTCAACTTTGAGGAGTTCAGAGCACTCGGAATGCTCGCAAAGGACGAAGCATTTGTTAGAAAAGGTATTAAACAGCTAAGTTATATTGGTTTTAATTTCGAATAACTGTTTGTTGTGGTATTGTTTAAGAGAATGGAAAGAGTTAAAAGAGATCTTTTAATTATTAATAGTAATTTAATGATTTAATTTCTGATTACCAGGTAAAACTGGAGGTTGGCGTGACTACTTTGATGAGAAGATGACACAACAAGCTGAGAAATGGATTGCGGACAACCTGAAGGATACCGACCTGCGCTTTCCATCCACGAATTAAATGTTTTATTGTAATAAATGATAACTGAGTTATAAAAATTATCTACACAAGCTTTTGTGTCATAGAGCCTCTTATCCTGGAAAAGCTGTACTTCTAAACTCCTACTGACAAAAACAATGGTTATTAAATCAATTATATTTCAAATATATACATACATTTGTTAACTGGAATCTTGTAACATAATTTTGAAGATACCTTCCACCTATTGATCTGACATTTTATCTACACGTTTAATTAGCATGACCGTAAATGCTAAGTTTCATAAAAAGTTATTTTAAAAAGTTCTTAATTAAATATTTAATCAGAAAACTGCCTCGTTGGTCGCGTGGTTGCAAGTTGCATTCCCGAGTCAGGCAAAGTATTACTGTGTTTTTAAAAAAATCTCAGTAGTAGCACGAAATTGTGCCCGGTATATGGCAATAGCTCACCCCCTAATACATGAGACTCATAACATAAATAGTGAAAAGTGGGTGTTACATTGTACAGTAGAATTAAGTGCCGTAATGTGCACCTCTGTCTACCCCTTCAGGGATAAAAAGGCGTGATGTTATGTTAATGTATGTTAATCACAAACCTTGGATTGTGGATGGAGCCTTTAAGGCAAGGCAAATATCCCAGCGCCTGACAGAAAACAGTTGTCATAGCCGGTGTGTAACAGTTTTAAACAATGCGCATTACTTAACGATAGGAGCTTATACGATATAGACGGCGTTTTTGTTATGTAATTGAAGGCACACGAGCAGTCGGATCACCTGATGGTAAGCGATCAGCGCCGCCCATGGACACCCCCAACACCAGAGGAGTCACAGGTGCCAAAAACCATATGACGTTTACGTTAATAAGAAACTATTTACAACTTAATATAAACAAAAAATTTATAAACAACCATATAGAATCCTATCTTATCATAGTTTTCAATGGAAATGTACATGACGTGACAATATCTAAGTAAGATTATAACAATCTGATCCTAATTTGTGCTGTAAATATTTATTTATATCTACGTTTTATCATTGACTAGCGGCCCGTCCCGGCTTCGCACGGGGGGACTTAAGATTTTTTACATAGTTTTACGTTTTATTTATATTTATTCTCAGTTTTTTTTTAGCGACCTGCCCTCCGTTGTCGATGTCGCGTCTTAAGGTAACCGATTGAACAATTCAAAAGTTATCTAGAGCAAACTTTTATAAGGATTGAACCATTCATTAAAACGATTGTTATGGGTAAACTATAAAAGGTAGACATATGCTCTCGCGGACTTTTTTAAAAAGAATGTTAAGATAAACAATTCATCTATAGAACATTTTTGTATAACTTTAACTATATGCTCAGCGCACGCCACGGAAGGCCTCAGAAACGATACTTTTCCCCCGTTTTTAAAACATTTTTGGTTACTGCTCCACAACTATAGGACCTAGCGTGATATTATATAGCCTATGTTACTTCTGAATAATGCAGCTTTCGAATGGTGAAAAAATTATTGCAATCGGTTCAGTAGTTTTTGAGTTTATTCATTACAAACATACAAAAATACAAAAATACAAAAATACAAATCTTTCCTCTTTATAATATTAGTATAGATAACAACTCCACTCTCTGTACCCTTAATATATGAAATGTATATGAATGGTCTACCCACGATGTAATGACAATATTACATTATCTTTTATCTTATTCTAAACCTAAGTAGGTAATCTTATCATAATAATATCTTATCATAGAAATCCGTAACCCCCTGTTACAATATTTTCTAATAGAACGATAGAGAAGTAAATCAAATTAAATAAAGTAAAAAGTTGCCTGCGTCATTGGGCAAGTGGTCGCAAGTGCGACTGCCGGGCAAAGGGACTCGGGTTCGATTCTTTAACAGTGGCATTAAGTGCCGTAATTTGCACCTCTGCCTACCCACTCGGGGATAATAGGCGTGATGTTATGTATGTAAAGGTAAAAGTCAATTTTGCCTACTCATCTTGACTTTGCGTAGCGTTTTTTTGTAAAATCATAATTATTATGAACATTTTGTTTTGGTATAATAAGGTTTTATTTTGATTAAACATAGATTTAACTGATTATTAACCGACTACAAAAACCAGTTCTCAGTTGTACCTGCATGTATTTATTTATGTATATATATGTACGTATATGTTTATTATTATTATTTATTTATTTTATAGTAACAACAGGGCCGATGCCGATTCGGAGTCACGGAGAACCTAACGGGTAACCGCGGCTCCGGCTCGACGTGCAGGAGAAGGAACTGGGTGGTTTTTAGTCAGTAAGAGTCTGACACTCCCTCCCGCCTCACCCAGGCAGGAGCAGTCATTCGATGATTTTCCCCCCTTAAAAAAATGCCTTACAATCTATCTATCTATGTGTATGTATGTACGTTTGTGCGCAATTACCTCGCAATTGGCTGAAGCGATTTTGATGCGGTTATCAGAAAAGTGTTTGTTACACTTAGGAGAAGGTTTTAATATATGTATTTATTAACCGATGTAAAAAAGAGAGGTTTGAGGTCGGTTTTCTTAAACGTAGTCTATAAAAAAATTATGTGCAATTTAATACAAATAATATTACGTAGAACAAGAATACACCTTTTATTTCCCGAAAGATTATCTACCTGCCATAGACACTCTTTTGGGAAATAAATATTAAATCCTCGTTAGTATCCTTACTAATATTATAAATCGGAAAGTGAGGTTGTTTGTTTGTTCCAACGAAATTATTGGTATAGATGGCGCTGTGTGTATTGGTATATGTCACATAGGCTACTTTTTATCCTTTTGTGACGCGAGCGAAGCCGCGGGTAAAAGCTAGTATGATATGAATAATACATCCCACTTTTTTAGATATAGATAGGGGGGGAGATGTGTGTACTATAGAACACCTACATTTCATTAGTTATAAATGTTTTATGAGTCCCATGTGTGACGACGCCATTGGAAGCATAATTCTAGACTCCGAAAATCAAAAAAGCTGCAATGACACTTTGCCCTATAGATAGTCAACTTACGCAATTAAGTCACTTATTTTCCTCATGATTCACTCACCTCATTGTGTCCACTTAACTAGTAGAGATAATCGTATTAAAAAATATGATAAGTTATACGTTGCTTCGATATCGTTATTTGCGAGTAATATCAGAGACAGATCGTCGATGGTCACAATAGTCAGCTAGTACGTAACCGACATTGTTGTTTGGTCGTCAACACAATCAGTATCCATCAACAATGGGCGAACAAAAAGATTTGCCGTTTCCCTACGAGACCAAGGAACTTGACCCCGAGGAAGAAGAACTGATCAACATTAATTTGGGATGTAAGTTGTTTATAGTTCTTTATATATAACTGTTTGTACGTATTATTTGTCTACGTTCATTTGATATTTATTTATTACGGATAATAAAATAGAAGCGCAGTTTTGCATTAAAGAAATAAATAAGGCAATGCTGTCATACGAGTTTAATCTCTAACTATGTTTAAAATAGTCGAGTTTACATTATGTTTCGATTTTTACTGTATAACTGATTTCAATTAAAAATCTATGGATTGACGTAGATTTTTTAACCTTGATTCTATTTATTTTCTGATAAAAATTTAGATCGATATATTTTGGATAAAGATCACACATGGGATACATTATTATTATGAAAAAACGCTGGTAAATCCGCTAGAAGAAACGATGTAATGAACAATCAATCTTCTGACGTTTATTTTTCCTACACTATCTAGGAGTGCATGTGCATTGCATAAAACTGGTTTATTGTAATGTAATTAAATACTTCACCACTTATATAATATGTACATATAATAAAATCGTAGGAAAGTAAAAACTGTACATGTAATATATTTTTTAAAAGAATGCTTGGGGCGTGATTGCAATCAATACCGACGCCAAAAATATGTTTTTTAGAAATTTTGCCTGTATGTATGTCCGGGATGAACTCAAAAAATGCTGCATGGATTTACTTCAAATTTCGCATGAATATTACTAACAGGTCGGATTAACATATAGGTTACATATTAATGATTGTTGTTTGGTGTGAGTCCAACGTGATAATTCACGCCATCACATACGGGGGAGGAGCTGTGAACAACTATTCCACGCCGCCAAAGTCGCGGGCACAGCTAGTTATAAATAAGACCATACAATGTTGAATCTAGATTAGAACAATTACTTTTAATAAACATGAAGGTGTAATCGCCAGTATTATTATTATCACAACAGTGTTGCTACCTACTGCATACAGTTTTATAATGACGAGTGTAAAATTATAGAGTCATCGTGTAAATCCTTAATTCGAAAATGATACTAGCACCTGTTAATCAGTATCACTTTGGGTCCACCAATAATAACCATAATAATATTCTCATCCTTAATGTACTTGTCGCGGAGAACCTAACGGGTAACCGGGGCTCAGGCTCGACGTGCAAGAGAAGGAACGGGGTGGTTTTTAGTCAGTAAGAGACTGACACCCCCTCGCGCCTCACCCAGGCGGGAGCAGTCATTCGATGATTTTCCCACCTTAAAAAAAAACCTTAATGTCTCCAGACTTTTTATATTTATTCGCTTATATAGCTCTTTTCAACTTTGTTTTTTTAAATTTCTTTGACTCTTCCTACAGGGTGAAAACGGAACGTTCTGAAAACGCTGACAAAAAAAAAACAATTTTTACGATTTTAATAGTTTTTTGTAACGTGTTATTCATACGCAACATCAGTCTTGAGCGGTTGATTACAACTATTATGACTATGTTTTTATAATAACTATCGTGACATACTAAATTAACTAAAAATCGCGAGTTAGTCACGTGAGTATACTAAGAAAAGCTCTACTAGTTCCGAACCACAGAAGGGTTCTTCCTCATGAGCAGCGTGCTCGGTCGCGTCGATGTCGTAGTAGGCTGCGCGACATCGCCGCTAAAAAATGTATGCTTTGTTTGTATAGTAGGTAGATTTAAATATACGCCATTGTTATTGCTAAGTATTATGTATCTGTGACAACGTCGTGAGTAGTGCTATTGTAAAATCTATCATTTTACTACTTCATTCCAGTGTTATGTTGTCCGTAACAAAATAAAATAAAAAAAGACGCCTTGAAACTGATACGCTGATAATGATGTACTGGTATACAATAAACCCTGATCGACGAATCATATCTAGTTTTTACCACCCTTCCTTTATATCGAAGTAATTTCTACTTTTAACTAGGATGTAATACCTAATTTTGTTCCACCCTTTCTTTAGACCTTCTAAAGTTGGTTAAAATTAAATAATAGTTGCTCTCTCCAGCATTCCCGACAAGCTACGTCAAACTGGGGCCCAAGGGTTACATGGTGCTCAAACCTTACATGAAAGATGCTGCGAATATCTACAACATGCCTTTAAGACCCACTGACGTGTTCGTCGCCAGTTATCAACGATCAGGTGAGTTCAAATTAATTATTTTTAATATCAACGAAATCAATGTATCTATGTACATATTATTTGTTAAGAAAAAAAAACAGATCTATACATAATTGTTGTCGCGGAGAACCTAACGGGTTACCGGGGCTCCGGCTCGACGTGCAGGAGTAGGTGGTTTTTAGTCAATAAAAGTCTGACACTCCCTCCCGCTTCACCCAGGCGGGAGCAGTCATTCGATGATTTTCCCCCCTTAAAAATAAATACATAATTGGTATTCCCGTATCCCGCATAGATGACATTTTATTTCAAATGTCAGACTGCAGCTTTTAATACAGAAATAAATACATACACGTGTTTAGTATTATTTGTGCAATTTACGAATCAATTCTTAAAACAACTTTATTCATCCAGGTACAACATGGACACAGGAACTAGTTTGGTTGGTTGCAAATGACTTGAATTACGAAAAAGCTGCAGAAATACCATTAGTACAACGGTACCCATTCTTAGAGTAAGTATTAGTAAATCATTTGAATTAGTAGTACATTGTTACTGTAATACACTAAGTACTAATTTTAAATACACAATTTATTACAGTGGCTTCATGTTCTTTGAACCAGAAAAGAAAGAATTGTATGCAGACATAATATCGGAAACAGCTGATGAAAATTTTGACAGAGAAAAATATATACAGATGATGGAATTCTTAGGTCAACCAGTGAGTCCGTTACTCGCTGCGGCGCCATTAACGCAGAAACGGTTCATCAAGACACACTTACCGATGTCCTTGATGCCTCCCACACTCTTGGATACTGCAAAGGTGGTTTACGTGGCTCGAGACCCTAGAGACGTTGCTGTGTCTTGCTATCATCATGCAAGGCTCTTCAAGTTGATGGGCCCTCTCAACGGCTTTAAAAACTTCTGGGAAATATTCTATCGAGGCCTCTGTAAGTAAAAAGTAAATTGTTTAGAGTTCAATGGCTAACTGAGCAGACCTTTAAGTCCTGAACATAGTTTAAATTTTGTAAAAACATTTGTGATAAAGATATTATGTGCATTATTTCATTTGCAGTTACTTTAACGCCTTATTTCGAACATGTCAAAGAAGCTTGGGAGCAGAGACATAACCCAAACATGCTTTTCTTATTTTACGAAGAGCTCTCAAAGGTAAACGAATACAAGTTATAAATATACCCTATAGTTACTATGTCGATATTGTCAAACAACGTAGGTGAACAAAAGATAAGATCATGTTATGATTGATAATCGTATTTATTTTTGTAAGCACTTGATTTCTGTACTACACCTAGTAATTATTATTTCCTTTTTTTTTTTTTTTTTTTTTTTAAGTGGGGAAAATCATCGAATGACTGCTCCCGCCCGGGTGAGGCGGAAGGGAGTGTCAGACTCTTACTGACTAAAAACCACCCCGTTCCTTCTCCTGCACGTCGAGCCGGAGCCCCGGTTACCCGTTAGGTTCTCCGCGACTCCGAATCGGCATCGGCCCTATTGGGCCCCATCTGTGGTGGTCTGATGGCTCTTTGAGGCGCGCGCGGAACGCGACGCGCCGTACGCTCGGGTCTGTTTCTGGTCGGACGGGGAGCCACCCATGCTCGCCGTCCGCAGGCCCGCGCTTACGGTGGCCGGAGATCGTCCCGCGATCCCCGACGCCCGGTGTGTCCTTCGCGATGGCTGGGTTGCGAGGAGGCAGCGCTTCGCTGCCTCACGCGTCCCGCCTCCTCCTTAGCCAGCATGACTGCTTCGCAAAAGGAGGAGACGGCATCCCAGTCCCCCTCGCTCCGCATCATGGCCTGAACTAGGCCCGGACGCGAGAGGTCTCCATCGCCGATCACTTCCCTGAGGGCACGGCGGTGCTCAGCCCACGCAGGGCATTCCGCAACAGTGTGTTCCACCGTGTCCTCAGGGTGGTCCTCGCAGTGATGACACCCGGGCGTTTCCTCCCGCCCCATCAGACACAGGTACCTCCCGAAACTTCCATGTCCGGTGACGACCTGCGTCAGGCGGTAGGTGAGGACGCCGTAGCGTCTCTCAAGCCACTCCTCAAAGAGGGGACTTACCGCTGCAATGGCAGCGAGCCCAGCCCTCGGTTGCGACAGTCGTTGCTGCCATTCCGCCATGAGATCGCGCCGGAGCTCATCCCGCCACGCACTTATCTGGCGCGGCAGCGGAGTTTCGCCCCGGCGACGTGCCTCCGCGCGCATGCGATACACGCGCGCGAGCACCTTCGCCTCCAGATCCCACGGCGGTAATCCGGCAAGGAGGTTCGCCGACTCCCCAGAGATCGTGCGGTATCCGCGGATCATTCGGATCGCCATGACCCTCTGTGCCATAAGCAGCGCCCGAGCGGGCCGCTGCAGCAGGTTCGGCGCCCAAACAGGGGCGCCGTAGAGGGCCATGGACCGCACGACCCCGGCGTATAACCTCCGGCAGGAGGCGTTTGGCCCCCCGAGGTTGGGGAGGATGCGCTTAAACGCAGCCCCCACCCTCGCCAACTTTGGAGCCAAACGTCGGAAGTGCTCCACGAAGTTCCATCGACTGTCGAGGACGAGTCCCAGGTACTTCATCGCCGTCTCGACGCCGATGGTAACCCCTCCCGCCATTATTTGAGACCCACCAGGAGGTGGCGCATTCCCGCGGCCATGAAAACATATGGCCTCGGACTTGTGGAGCGCCACCTCGAGTCCCAACTGCCGGATTCTCTCAACGACTGTCGCAACCGCTGTCGCCATTAAATCGGCCGCCGCCTGGTGCGACCTCCCGTGCGCTAGCACCAGCGTGTCGTCGGCGTAGCATATCATGCTAACGCCGTTCGGGAGGTCGGTGCGCAGCACCCAGTCATAACCGATGTTCCACAGGAGCGGCCCCAGAACCGAACCCTGTGGAACACCGCGTGACATCTCTCGCCGGTTCCACTCGCCCCGGTGAAATTATTATTTCCTTATCAGTTGCTAAACTATTGTTATTTATGTGTAGGTACCTACTTACTTGATCGTTTGATGCACTGGTAGCCTGATGCGTGTTTTTTTTTAATTATTACCAAACTACTTGCCTGCTTCTATCTTAAGCTTAAGGATTTACTCTGCAGTAGACTCATTCCGACTGATGATGATAATGTCGAATTGATAGTAAATATAAATATTGGATGAAAGATTTTTAATGGTGAAAATTATTTTAGGACCTACCGGCCAGCATTAACCGTGTGGCAGACTTCTTAGGCAAAAAGTTGAATGAAGAAGAAATGAGCCGCCTCTGCGACCACCTCAGTATTGAAAACTTTAAGAACAATAAATCCGTTAATTTTGAGGAGATGAGAGAAATTGGCGTACTTGCCAAGGGAGAAACTTTTATTAGGAAAGGTATAAGGCTTTTTATTTACAAACATCCTTAACAAAACAAAAATGTTATGTTCTTGTTATATTTCTTTTATTTGTTACAAATTCTTTCATTGTATATGTATTTATTTCCTCAGGTAAATCTGGAGGCTGGCGCGATTACTTCGACGAAGAGATGACACAGCAAGCTGAACGATGGATCGATGAAAACCTGACGGATACCGACCTGCGTTTTCCCACTATGAAATAATATGTTATTTTTTTACACTAATAAAAGAATAATTGTACACCATGACAACAGAATAACATGTGCTTGCGTGCATTAATTTTCCTTAACCCTAAATTGTTTATCGCCTGACCTAATTTTATAGCAGTTATAAGAAGTCAATAGTCATATGTCTTTTTTTGAGGGGGAAAAATTATCCAATGACTTCTCTCGCCCGGGTGAGGTGAGAGAGAGTGTCAGACTCTTACTGATTAAAAACCACCCTGTTCCTACTCCTGCACTTCGAGCCGGAGCCCCGGCAACCCGTTAAGTCGTCTGCGGTTCCGTATCGGCATCCACCCTATTGGGCCCAATCTGTGGTGGTCTGATGGATCCTTGAGGTCCGCGTAGAACGCGACACGCCGCCGTACGCTCGGGCCTGGTTCAGAGGGCTTAGTACGAGTTTTTTTACATTTAAATTAATTGAAACGAGTAAGCGGTCGGCGCTCTGATTGGCCGGCTCCAATGAACCAACCAATCAGAGCGCTGAACGCAGTCCGTTTCGATAACTTTTAACGTAAAACAAACGTAAAGGCCTCTGGTCGGGCGGCGAGTCACCCGTGGTCGCCGACCGCTAGTCTTATAGCTAGTTTTACTACTATTAAGTACTCAGATCCATAGGTACCCAGATTTAATTTTACTTTGAGATTCAAATCGTGTAAAATGTTATTTATCTATTAAACATCGTCGCAACCAACAACAATATTGTTATTGCTATGTGCACATCTGCAGGCATTTTTATGAATTTCAACTTTTGATACAATGACTCAATTAAAAACATCTGCAGTTGCATCAGCGCGTATTTAATTAATCATACTAAATTTATTTCAACAAATATTATTGTAAGCAAACTACAAAAACCTACCGACAGTTTTACATGAGAGCGCCTTCCATACTCATCGAATAACAAAGAAGCCCAGATCTACCAAACCTGAAACATTTGTATATCCATAATATTTCGTATTTTGAGACATCGTTTTTATACCTGACACAATACAATCACTGAATAATAATTATACACCATGACAATGTATATTTTCGTTCATTAACTGTTCACATGTTCTATCTCTACAGTAGCTACAAGAGGTCACTATTTTTCCAAGTACATCTATGTCTATCTAGAATTAGGCCTTCTATAAGGTAAATGATAAATAGCCTTAAAAAAAACAATTTCATTCCCATGTGTACATCCGCAGGGGTTTTTATTTTATAAATTAAGTCTTTTAATAAGGTACAATAAAATTACTCAGTTAGTATACAAATAGAGCGAAAGTGTTATTGATAGTATTTTCTACATTAAAAATTAATACTTGTATTGTTATAAAGTACAAATCAAAATAACAGGTACCCAATGACTATTGTACACGAGGAAAACTTATATTATTTTCCTTGTTAATATAAGCGAACTGAAACATCTCCAAAAAAGGACAGTGTTCCTCTGTATTATGAGTGCTTATTGATTGTGGGTCCCTTTTCAATATGTACAACTGTACAGTGTACTGTAGGTACGTATCCATATGTTAACCTCCATTAAAGCAGTTGCCTAGTAAATCTCATTATCGAAAAGTGGTTCTATTGCAAGAACTGTGTAATATGTGATAAAAAATTTGATTTATCACTATTTACCTTGATGTTGATACCTATTATTTATAAGCTTATTATCGATTAGATATATAACCAAAACTAATTTAGTCTGTCCATTTTTGTCGTAGTCAACAGTAGCGTTCAATAACGATGGGTGAACAAAAAGATCTGCTGTTTCCATATGAATTTAAGGAGCTTGATCCTGAAGAAGAAAAATTGGTGGAAGACAATTTAGGGCGTAAGTTGTTTTCGATTTAACCCTTTGAGTACCGTCATTATAGACACAATTAAAGAACAATAGGTTGCGGTCACCGGTGTCCTGACAGTTTGACAGTTTAAAATCAATTAATATAAGGGCAAATCCATCTATCTACTTCCCTTGTATGCAGTTTCATTTTCAATAATTTTATGTATAAAATTGGGCCTCGAAATCTCGGACTCTATCTCAAAAAACCGTAACGAAAATCGTTCATTATTTTCAAGTATTTACTGCATTAGCGGAATTGCCTGTTACATTTTTATGTTCTACAGCTTTTCCAACAAGTTTGATCAAAGTGGGACCAAAAGGCTACATTGCATACAGACCTTACAAGAGAGATGCTGCAAATGTCTACAACATGCCACTAAGACCTACTGACGTGTTCGTGGCTAGTTATCAGCGATCAGGTAAATTCTTACTACTTAATTTAATTCTTAATACGCGTCTATTTAACTCTGGCAGATATTTAAAATTGTAGAAGCTAGTAGATACGAAACTGAATAAATAAAAAATATATCAAACCAACAAGTTGATGTCTAAGATCTGGTGAGAGGATGGATGATGATGATGCGTGGGTAATTATAATGTTAATCTTTGTTTTAGGTTAAAATTGCTGTGATTTCCAAATTATTTATTCAATTTTGTTTTTTATTTTGTTTTTGAATTGTATACATTTTTATTAATTATCTAATTAGTTTTTTAAGTACCTAAGTAATAGTATTTATATAAGATTAACAGTATAGATAAATTAATGGCGTAAGCAGTATTGTTATATATGTAAATTAAATAAATAATAACAAATGTTTATAATAGTTTTAAGGTGTTATTTAACAAGGTCGGTGAAAATATTTACAATTACATATTAGAAGACGAGAATATTCTATAACCTTGAACACAAATGTTCTTCAAATCTTTGTGATGCATAATAATTATTTCTCCAGGTACTACGTGGACCCAAGAACTAGTTTGGTTGATCGCAAACGACTTAAACTATGAAAAAGCTGCGGAGATACCACTGACACATCGTTACCCATTTTTAGAGTTAGTAAGCATTTTACATTGCCATTTTATACTTTATTTACACTCACAACAGTGTTAAACGTTTGCACTTACTATTGTGTCTCTCTGCATCACCCTAAGGTTGACTGTTAGAGAATGCCACTAGGCATTAAGTCCGCCATTGTACACAAGAAGTGTAAATAAATAATTGCATACCTACATACTTTTAAGTAAAACTCAATACTTAAATATCTAAAAGTTTATTATAAACGGATTCTTTTAAGAACACAGCGATTGCGCTGTGTTCTGTGGAAGAGCATTGGCTCTTCCAACTTCCCACCAGTATCGCTCGTCACTCCACTGCGCGGGAAACTTTTTTTAATCTGTCCCATTTGACAGATGACATCGTCAATATGACAGCTAGTGCTGTCGATAACATAGATTAAACTAGTGACGTTCATTTAGTTGATTTTCGTCGTCTAACAATACTTATCTTCACGCCTATCTCCCGTTGGAGAGACAATAGGACACCAAATGACACAATTCTAGCATACCTACCTCTTACGTTCTATCTACATTCATCAATCCTATACATAATTCATAATTGCATAATATTTAAATTACAGCGTCTTCATGTTCTTTGACCCAAACGAGAAAGAAAAATACATAAACGTTATGTCGAACACAGAAGAAAATTTCGACAAAGAAAAGTACTCACAAGTATTAGATATGATGAGCAGACCAGCGACTTTACTGCTCGAAGAAATACCATTAACTGAAAAACGGTTCATCAAGACACACTTACCGATGTCCTTGATGCCTCCCACACTCTTGGATACAGCGAAGGTGGTGTACGTGGCTCGAGACCCTAGAGACGTAGCTGTATCCTGCTATTATCACGCAAGGCTATTTAAAATGATGAAACTGGAGAGAAGCTTTAAAGACTTCTGGAATATGTTCCACCGAGATTTATGTAAGTAGGAAGGGGAAAAAAGACTAATCATCATCATCATCATCATCTATAAATGCCTAATGCTGAGCAAAGCCTCTTCTCACACAGAGAAGGTTAGAGCATTAATAAAAATACTAATACAAAGAAATTAGTACTTAACTTAATTTACCTTCGATATGGTCACTGACCAGTTATAGTGGCTCACCAGCTGCTATAAATCTTAAGATAACGACGCATTCAAACCTTAGATAATTCTGTATTCCGATTTCAGTTAAGATTGTTATCGATATCTTTTGGTTTCCAGATACATTGACACCGTTTTTTGAACATGTGAAGGAAGCTTGGGAGAAGAGACATGAACCCAACATGCTGTTCTTATTTTACGAAGAACTCTCGAAGGTAATTAAAATTCTTTTTGGAGAATTTAATTTTGAAAATGGAATAATAATATTTTAAACCTTGAACTATTTTAGGACCTACCGGCCAGTATTAACCGTGTGGCAGACTTCTTAGGCAAAAAGTTGAATGAAGAACAAATGAACCGCCTCTGCGACCACCTCAGTATTGATAACTTTAAGAATAATAAATCTGTGAATTATGAGGACATGAGGGAGCTTGGAGTACTCGCCAAGGGAGAAACTTTTATAAGGAAAGGTAAGCCAACAAAATTTCAAAGCACAGCATATCTATTACCAATATTATATTCATGTTGATTATAACAACAACAGCGTTACTTACAACAGGTTGGTAGTAAGTAATTTATTTTAGTAGGTACGTAATTTTGCCTTAATTTTGTTTTCAGGTAAATCAGGTGGATGGCGAGACCACTTCGACGAGGAGATGACACAACAAGCTGAAAAATGGATCGAGGACAACCTGAAGGATACTGACCTGCGCTTTCCATTTATGAAATAAATAAACAATAGTTTCATTTAGTACTAACTGTGTCTGTGTGTACACGCAACTTCATCTGCGTTTTTCTAAAATAAAAATATATGTTACTCCTTAGTAATCCAATGCCAATAAAATTCCTGTCAAAATCGGTCCAGACATTTCAGAGATTACCAAACAGACAGACAGATTACAAACAGACAGACTGAGAAAATTTGTAAAAATGTCACTTATATGTTTAGACGAATGCATATATTTACGGCAATAGGCGGATTTATGGATGTCGTTGGTTGCCGCTTCGTGGGCATGAGCATTTCTCATTTGTCATTTGTAGGCCGCCTATTATCAAATGACGGGTAGTGGACAGTAGGCCTTAATTTCACCTGTCCTTATGTTTGCCTACAAGGGGGAGACCAAAGTCTGTGTCTTTTTTTAGCCAATGCTTTTTTAGCCGGAAAGTGGATCAAAGGACAATTCCTTTGATCCACTTTCCGGTTAGCCATAGAGCTGAAATTTTGTACACATATGTATATGTAAATCGCATGACCTTGCAATATTATGGTGTCATAGAGCTGATCTGATGATGGAGCTGGAAGATAACAATAGCAACTTATTCATCAAGCGACATACCGCATTGAATTCGATTCTTAATTGGTGACACTATATTTGGGAAATAAAGACTCTTTTTACTTGACTGTTTAATGCTACGTTCTTTTGTGCAAAAGTACCTAACCTACCTGACCAATGAAATAATGAGTTTTTATGTGAAAATTTACCCAATGTCTTCAAAATTCTCAATGAATAAAATCACATGATGTTCACTATCTGGTTATAGTTTAGTACAGATTTGATTTTGCAGGTGGCAGCTCGGTAGTCCACACTAGAGCCTCATTAAAATTACACTTAGGTGGACCGGAACTAACTAATAATCAATTTAGGTTAGTTTTTAAATTTCATATATAAATGAAACCCCATTTGGAACGTACATGGTGTCTTCTAAATGAAATAGGGTCCGAAAACGAAGGTGATGATTTATGTCTCAAAAATTTCATAATTTAGGTACAGACGAAGTAGAGGATTCCACCTGTCTGTCTCGTGGAAGCATTAAAATGATAAAGCACGTTTAATCCAACAAAGATCCCGACGTGGCGACGTCCTAATATCTATTTGTCCTGATAAATAGTAAACAATGATGCAGAAGGTCAAAAACTGTAATCTAGAATTACAATCTACCAATAACAAAATATAACTACTGGGTCGTTTCTTTGTTTTTCGTGGCGCATTCACATGCGGTCCCTGATTCACAAAGACATGCGCAGATTCCACTAAACAACTCAGTGTTTCGCACATAAAATTATGATAAAAATACCTAAAGATAGACTTCATTTTGACTTTAATAATAGCCTATAAATAATACAAATAGTATGTCGTACGGCTAAGTCGACAATCATAACAGTAACTGGACAGTCGTCCTCACCGAACACCTAGTCATTTTGCATTTATTGCGTGAACAGAATAACTATCAATAATAAAAATGGAGAAACAAAAGGATTTGCCATTCCCATACGAGTTCAGGGAGCTTGATCCCGAAGAAAATAAATTGGTTAAAGCCAATTTAGGCTGTAAGTAAATTTTTCTTTATTATATTATTCTAGGAGTCATTTTTATGTTTCTAATGTGTTCCTAATAATAAAAACATAATTATTTTCCTAAACGCATACGCGACACAGGACACAATCCTATTCTACCTTTTTAATATAAGTATACTTTTTGATAGTATGAATGAGTATCCTTTTAGGAAAATAAATAGAGAAAAATAGAAGCAATTCACTGATCTGCAAAAATTCATTTTTTTTTAAGTTATCTACAGCTGAAGCAATTCATTTTTTTCATAGAATTATCCACAGTGAGTACAATCTTTGAAGAAAGTGTTTGTCTATCACGTTTAGATTTTATGTAATCTGTCTAATCTGTTAACAAAATTGAGTAATTTAGTCATTTTAACGTATTTTTGTTGCTTTATATACAATTAACTATTTCATCCTTACTAATATTATAAATCTGAAAGTGAGTTTGTTTGTTTGTTTGTTCCACCTTCACGCCGTAACTACTCAACCGATTGCTTTGAATTTTTGCAGACGTAAAGTTAGAAGTCCGGATTAAATAATAGGGTACTTTTTAACCCGGAAAAAATTGATATTCCCGAGGAAAAACAAAAGTATTGGTATAGATGGCGCTGCGTGTATTGGTATATGTCACATAGGCTACTTTTTATTCTTTTGTGACGCGAGCGAAGCCGCGGGTAAAAGCTAGTTTAATATATTTTTAATAAATTAATTTTTTCATAGCACGTCGAATTGTTACTTTACCATTCACCATAGCTGAGATATACCTATGGCGGTTAGTTTCTACCGATTTTTTGTATTAAAAATGTTCTATGCATAATTATGTCTGAATTTCAAACTCCTATAACCCAGTGATGAGATATTCTAGAGATTAAATTCAAAGTGATATGAAGAGAATGAGAATTATGTACATATCTCATTCTCTTCATATCACTTTGAATATATATTTTATACTAATCAAAAAATGTTTAATTACAAACCTTATTTTGTATAATGTCACGGAATAAGCAAAATATGATACAATTTCAGGAATTTTACAGTAGGTTACACAAAATCTAGACGTGACAGACATGTAGTTTCTTCGGTTAATGATATAATGGTAAATGATAATCTTCTTCGGTTTTTTAAACATACCTATTAATATGTTTTGTTTTTATACGACGCACTAAGCAGATCTTCAAGACCTAATCAAGAAATCAGAAATAAATAAGCAAAAACGGATTTTTCTCATGAAAAATACAAATTTTAAACTTATTCATTGCTAAATGTTCATTTATACCGTAGTAGGTCAATATTTTTGAAGCAGCAATGGACAGAGTTTAATAAAACTTTTTTTGGTTTAAGTAAGCATTTTGATTTAAGTTAATAAGCCTAAGAAACATTATAGGTATAATTTGTTTGAGAAATTGGAATTGAAAAAAGCCTTTAGTCAATAGGTAATATAAGTATTCTACGCGGTCCTCAATTGCGGGCAGAAGCTAGTCTTGAATAAAAAAATTAAAACATGTTTATTATACTTAAATATAATTTATTTTCGAGCTGACTAGTTAAATATTTTTGGATACCTACTAACAATAAAATTACTAGTTTATACAAAAAAAAGATACACGCTGGGAAAAATTCGTATTTCTTTGGTACTATTGACGTCATAGAGTTTATTTTTTACATGATAAATGTTATTATTATATGCATAACATGGTTGAAATAATCACAATATTACAAATTAGTTAGTTAAAGTATTTGCTTTGAGATAGACGAATACTAAAAAATATGCTTTAAAACATGTCAACATTAGTCATAGGTACTTGTTCATAAAGTGCAAATACATAATTCTAACATCATTTTTTTAAACACGAATATAGAGGACTAATTTAAATTTTAATCACATGTCACTTTAAAGTAACTGAATAGATGTTTAGAGTTTAGACACAATATTTTTTTATAAATAAGCCGGTAAACAAGCATCGCCTGGTACGCAATCGGTGTCGCCCATGGACTCCTAGAACACCATAAGTGCGTTACAGGCCTTTTGGGGATTAGGTGTATGAGGATTGTTAGCGATTTAGGGATTGGGCAGATTGGGGATAGGGGGGAGGGTGTAACCTCCGGTAACCTCACTCACACGCCGAAACGCAACGCAAGTGCTGTTTCACGTCGGTTTTCTGTGAGACCGTGGTATCACTCCGGTCGAGCCGGCCCATTCGCGCCGAAGCATGACTCCCACACTGAAAACTTACTCCGACTTTGTATACATCTTACTCCAGTCTAAGTTAAGCTTACCACAAAATCTATCTAATACTTTTTCTTAATACTTCAGCATTCCCAACAAATTTCGTGAAATTGGGACCTAAAGGCTACATGGTGTACAGACCCTACGTGAAAGATGCGGCGAATATCTACAACATGCCATTGAGAACCAACGACGTGTTTGTAGCCACTTACCAACGATCAGGTAAATTCGAATAACGTCTTTGTTTACCCAAAGTTCGGATTAGGCTGTGGAAACTAAGTGGAGTCATAATGGAACTTTACTTGTAGGGATATGTTATAGGTATTCTAGCAATATAATAATCTTGTAATGAAGAAACACATTACGTAGCCCGTTAGCTATGTGTAGTTGAGATTGATTATCGTCATCAGTGCAATAGGGTAGTTGCCTGAATTTTATTTTAATGTCCGTCTGGTATATTAATTTAAAACATTTGACACGTATTTTTTCTTTTATTTACACACAACATTAAATACGACGTCGAAAGTATTTAATTTCACAAAATTAAATACTTTTGACGATATATTAACCTTAAATATCGTGGGACGTCACAATCCGCTACATAAATTATTATGTTTTCGGCTTACTCACGTAATAATTTGACGAGGAACTCGACTAGTTTCAAGCCATGCTAGAGGATCATATTCATGAGCAGCATTTCGCGACCCGCGACGCGGCGACTGTCACGCTGCTACTGGCTACTCGAGTCTGCGGGCCCGAATGGCGGGGCGCTATGTCTCACGAAAGTTACAATACAAATCCGCTACATTTTGTAGCACTTAGTGACGTAACGATCTCCCACTCCTAAACTTAACTCCATTTTATCTACGTATTGTAACATTATACAAGAAAATAAAAAAATACCTGTCTAATATTTTTTTTATTATCTAACTGACGGACTATTTAGAATTTTAATTTTCATTCCCTGGCAACTACCCTATTATGTAAATAAATTAACTGCTTAGATCAATGATCTCTTAATAAATTCTTAAAAATAATGAAAGTAAAATATATTCAGGAACGACAATGACTCAAGAACTGGTTTGGTTAATTGAAAACGACTTGAATTTTGAAGCTGCGAAAACATTACTGTCCCACCGCTACATGTACCTCGAGTAAGTACACAGACACAAATAATAGAGAATAATTTGATTTTGTTTCATTTTATTTTACTTGGTAATGCACTTGCCAGTAGTGAGTACTTTTTCAAAAAGCATTAATCTGCATTTTGGTATATAGTCACTTTTTTCATCAAAGTAAGATAAAAATATTACGATCCACACATACCAAGCGAACGGATAGACGTATAATTACGAATATTTAAGTTAATAATACTTTATTCCCATACAATGTTGGTCTGTTTCTCGGTCTGAGTTTAAGCATTGCCATACAACGTGGCAATGCTGCCAGCCTTCTGGGTACTTACCCTATTGACGTCGATGCGGACGAATTTTTCGATGCTCTCTGTAAATAGTCATTATTAGTATTCTTTTATTTAATTTTCTCTATTAGTTTTAGTGTATCTTAAGCTATACAAATTATTTTGTTCTTTTCCTAACATTATTTAAATGTATATTTAAGTAGATACACAAATATAAACAAATATATTGATTTTATGCTCACACACTATCCTTCGTGAATCTGAGTTGGCCTCTCACCTTTCCAATAGGTATTATAATTAATCTTAAAATAAACTATTTCAGCGGATTCATGATCTACGACCCAGAGAAGCAAGAAGAATACAACGGCATATTACCGAATCCAGAAAAACTTGATATAGAAAGATATTTAGAATTGTTAGAATACTTTAGTCGTGAAGGGAGCTCATTGCTCGCTTCAGTACCATCAACAGAGAGAAGATACGTCAAGACACACTTACCTTTGTCCTTGATGCCTCCCACTCTGTTGGACACTGCGAAGGTGGTGTACGTGGCTCGAGACCCTAGAGACGTGGCAGTGTCCAGCTACCATCACGCGCGATTATTATATTTGATAAATAAGCAGAGCAACTTTAAGGATTTCTGGGAAATGTTTCACCGTGGCCTATGTAAGTAGAGTTAACACATCAACGCAAGTCGACTATATGAAAAGGTACCCGTGGTTACAGTTTTATAAGTACAAGTTTTTTGTTCAGATACGCTAACACCATATTTCGAGCACGTCAAAGAAGCTTGGGCAAAGAGACATGAACCGAACATGCTGTTTTTGTTTTACGAAGACTACTTAAAGGTTGGTACTGAATTCGTTATTTAAAAGGAAATTATAAGTTTTCAATAAAAAGCCCTGTTGAAAAAACCGACTTTAACGTCCTTTTATTTTCGAAGTCGATTAAGTTTGTTTAGAACCGTAAATTGAATATTTTCTTTGTTTATGAAGTGTAGTCAAAGAGGCCGATGTTTAGAAGTAGACATCTTATAACTGTCAGTAATCAAGGTTCACATTTAACAGAGACCGGGCTGCAAAGGTTTCTCATAAATCTGAACCTTTTAAACTGCAATCTCCGTGTGATAGAGGCCCAGAGTCCAACAGTGGACTGTTATGGGTGTTAATGTGTGATAATAATAAGATGTTCTGTTCTGAGTCCCATCCATGAATTATAAGGGAGGAGTAAACAGTACTTAAATATAAAATTATAATTCTAGGACTTACCAGGCTGCATTGAACGTGTTGCCGAGTTCTTTGGTAAGAAGTTGAGTAAGGAACAAATTCAGCGCCTCTGCGAACACCTCGATTTTGAAAAGTTCAAAAATAATGGCGCTGTGAATATGGAAGACTACAGGGAAATTGGAATACTCGCGGACGGAGAGTATTTCATTAGAAAAGGTAAGATACTTTTACTCGAAAATTTCATAAAAAAACCGGCGGCATTCTAAAATGCATTCTAATGCATTATTTACGATGTATTCCAGTTATTGTCTACGGTATTCAAATTTATATGAAATTCATTCATAGACAACAGACTATTTTTTCAAAAGTGAATTTCAAAAAAAAATGTGGTTACAGTTTTTTCAATAATTAACTACTACATTTAACGCTGATTAAATTGCGCAGAAATATGTATATTTAATAAAATGTTGACAAAAATATTATTATAATTCCTATTTTATTTCGAAATACATTTTGATACTGGCCATGTTAACCGTAAAAGTAAGCCATAAAGGTAAAAAAGAAACAAAATAATGGCATTCCAAATTTATTTTAATGGAATCAAGCCAGTAATAGTTTTTTGATTTGCCTAACAATTCGAACTCATTAATTACCTAATTATTAAAACACGCTCAAAAAATTCTCCAGTGATGCTTTAGATATTTTCATTTAAAATTATTTTGGTTTTGATATTTTTGTTAAGTTTTGATATATTAGTCGCACAAATTAATAACTTGAGGATTATGAAGGATTCGGGGATTGCGGAGACGGGGGGGGGGGGGTAATTGGGCCTCCATTAGCACCAATCACACGACGAATCACAACGCAAGCATTGTTTCACTTCACGTCGGTGAGGCCGTGGTATCACTCTGATCGAGCCGGCCGATTCTTGCCGAAGCATGGCTCCCACACTTGGGACATACATACTGCTGCAGTATGTACATACATATGCAGCATAGCATATATAGCAGTATGTTGCAGTCTGCAACATACTTAGGGCGGAAGCTGCAGATAACATCACGGGTTAGCAGGGCACTCCCTCTCGTCTCACTCCAGACAGGCTCTTCCCGCCTTGTCTCCTCATTGAATGATTTTCTCTCCTCAAAAAAAGAATGAGTAGGTCCGAATACTTAGGTACCTAAACATAAAAAACGGCAATGTGGTTTTATTTGATTTTATTTAATATTTCAGGTAAAGCTGGAGGCTGGCGTGACTACTTCGACGAGGAGATGACACAACAAGCTGAAAAATGGATTAAGGACAACTTGAAGGATACTGACCTTCGGTTCCCACATATTGAATTATAATCAACTGTAAAATTGTATTATCAAAACATAAGTAAATTAAGTATTGCCTTCCTTAATGTAGGTAAAGTTATTTCGGATTTATGGGTATTATTTATATTTAAACTTATTACTATCTACTTAACTTATTTACTTACTTATATTCAAACAACAAAATTAAAATGTTTGTATATTTTTTCTTTGCCGCATAGAAGTACGACGACAAGAGGCATTATGAATTAATTCCATTGCCTAAAAATATTTTCATAGCACTAAAATTGTCTATTGTTACTTGCGAGTGTGTCTTTACAATTTGTATTGTATCCAATCAATACATTTCATTTTTGTTAATTATTTAGACTTTCTTGTAATAGATAATATTATTTGCAATTTAATATTGATTCAGAATATAATTAATTGTTAATGTAACCTTATTTTTATGCACTTATAAGGAAATAAACTCACGTATTTTATGTACCAATCTATTTATCTTATAGCCTTATCCAACCATGTCTAGAGAAACCGAAAAGGAAAAATGTGATCTATGATCTATTCTTTGCGTCCTTGGGACTGGGATTATCGTCCTAAAGTCGACCAAAATCAGAGTGATAGATACTTAGGTACCTACATAATAATTTTGCGTTCTTTACGATGACGTTCGTAGAAAAGCGATTATTTAGTAAGTATTAGGTACCTACCTACTAACTAATCTTAACACGTTAAACGCCATGGTGGTCACCGGTGACCGGCGTTAGCGGAAGATTTATCTTCAACAGTTTTTTATTGGCAGTCAGTCTTAATATAATACGTAGTAAGATATATATTTTTGTTTATACTTTCTTTATTAACATAAAAAAGCATACAGTCATAAAACAGACACGGTGAGTTTACAAGAAACATGATATAAAAATGACAATGCAGGCTAACGCACCTATTCTTACAAAATACATAAATAGTAATAGTCTTTAAATTACATGATATTTTATTATTTACCTTGTGAGAGACAATATTCAATGCTCAAAATTGTATTATAATGTTTGGGGTAGTCGCCATAGTCATATACACCGAGCATAAAGTTACCGTTATGAAAACAGTTGCTAATTAATGTCTTTTATATGTGTACTATCTGCATCTGCATGGTTTCCGCTCCACTCAGCTCCTATTGATCGCAGCGTTATATTTTATAGCCTATAGCCTTCCACGACAAATGCACTATTCACCACAAAATTAATTAATCAAATCGGATCAGTAATTTTGGAGATTAGCGCGTTCAAACAAAAAAACAAACTCTTTATACTTTATATAATAGTATAAGATTCTACATCATCATCATCATCACCAGCCTGTGTTCGTCCACTGCTGGACATAGGCCTCTTTGATTCTGACATTCTACATTCTACACATATATAACAAACAATACTGGTCCCAATATTGAACCCTGAAGTACCCTCGAACGTACTCGGAAATTGTGTTAGAGTTGAAGTGTTTCGGTTTTCTGGAGAAACAGGTTAATATAGATAGTATGTACTGTACTGTAGATAGATGACTCTGGCCCTGGATGGTTTAAAATGTCTAAGATCGGTAATGTAAACGTGCTCATCACCGAGAGCATTCGCGTGTAATGTAACGTTACAGATCCGAGCAATATTTACATCAGTGAAGGAAGAGAACCAAGCATTACAATGCGCACCTTGTACTGATACAATGTGTAATATCTTAATACAACTTGTAACATCAATGTGTGACATCTTGCTATGAAATGCTCAGAAGTCGAATATATATGTTATAATACACGCAAATGCTCGTTAGTCAGGGAGGTATTATAGTAATGTAATGCTCAAAGTCAAACCTATAATATTACATTACACGTGGATGCTCCCGGTGAGTGAACATTTTAAGGCATTATTGAGATGCTTTACGTATAGGTACACCGTGGAATCTATTTCATTTTCGTTCCAAAGTAAAATGGTTGTGTCGTGGTAATACAATAGTTTTACAAAGAAATAAAATATTTAAAACAATAAATAACTGGTGAACCATTGCAAAAAGCAAACTTCGAAAGCGCATACGAATTCATAGTACCATATTATCAAAACATTACGCCATGTTATTCTCGAAGAGGTATTTCTCGAGTGGCAAGTGTGATGCGAATAGTGCCTACAAATTTACGTCTAGTGTTTCATGTGCGTATTTCCATGAATATTTTTTTTAACTAAAGAGTTACGTCTTTACTTTTAATTTTTACTTTATTCATCGAATATTATTGTGCCTTGAGACGAAAGCGAAATAGATTTCACGGTGTTTTGTTTCCGAAACAACTAGTTTTGATCTACATAGGTGAACACATCACGACCAGCTGCGGCTCAAGGATTCCATTTCCACACAGAATATTTGTTTGTTTATGTGATCCAGTTTAGTTCAGGATCCAGCCGTTATGTATGTACATTGCAAAAGAAATTCCAATTCTGGATTAAACTTGGAAAACTAAATATACCTTCCTTATACTCTTCAGCAACATAATTATTTCCAAGTTATGGAACTTGAGCTGTTATTCAAAATTGGCTCCTTCAAATCATTCAACTTTTAAGGGTAAAGATACTGTGACATGAGTTTTAGAGCATTTTTAATATGAAGTCCTTAAGTTTAACTCCAATTAGGTTATAAATACAAACATATACATGTAGTTATAATATATATGTCATCATCATCATCATCAACAGCCTATATTTATAGGCTGTTCTGCCCACTTCTGAGCAAAGCCTCTTCTCACACGGAGAAGGTTAGAGCATTAATCACCACGCTTGCTCAATGCGGGTTGGCGATTTCAAACTTATAATTAGAAATTATAAACCGAGGTTTCCTCACGATGTTTTTCCTTCACCGTTTGTCAGTGGTGTCTAAATAATCTTAGAAAGTACTTATAACTCAGAAAAAGTCACATTGGTACTTGCCGTTGGTAGGTTTCGAACCCGCACCCTCAAGCATGAGAAGCAGGCGTCTTAAACCTCCACCACGACAGTTACAGAATATATATGTGTATGCTGTAAATCTGTACTATCGTCTGAACAGACTGAGATCAAAATAATTTGCTCAGGCTGCACACTGGAACAGGACATAATTGTGATCGACGAGGGATTTCACTTTTGTACATACATACGACAGCTTTAGCTACCTACTTATCGGGTGAATATTTTTATTTTTAACCAACTTCTGTCGTCTCAGTTTGACTTGTATGTATGTTTCATTTACAATATCATCATGCTTTTTATCCCGAGATGAGGCAGGTAGAGACGATGGAATCTCATATGACACATTCTCGGTGATAAATCTTCTAGCAAATATGACCACAACTAAGTCTAAAGACCAGGGACACATTATTTTTATAATAACTATCGTGAGAGTGAGACATACTAAATTCACTAAAAACCGCGAGTTTTTTCTTAAGGGGGGAAAATCATCGAATTTCCTAAAAAAAAACGGGTTACTCGCGTGAATATTCTGAGAGAAGCTCTACTATTTTCGAACCACAGAGGGGTTCTAGACATAGCTATTAGTTACATAACATAACAATATGTTATTAAACCTACACATTTTTTGACCCTGGTATCACAGATCATTTCCACATAAACGTGATCGTAGCAATCGAATCAACTATACTATTCTGTACACAGAACATTATACCTCTAAAGAAGTCTGTAACTTTCAGTTCGAAAGGTCGAAGTGAATTCGATCGCGATCTGCTACGTCCCTGGTTGTGAGAATAATTTCGACTAAAGATGGGCGAGAATGCTATAGAGCTCACTTCGAAAGCTCGAATTGACATCTTACAGAATATCTATAGCCTAGCAGATCTTTTGGCCGGTTAATTTTACATGTAGGTATGCTAAGTGTAAATCTGGAAAAATTTCTTTAAAATTGAAATCTGACTGGGTCGATTTCCCTTATAAACTCTATATTGTCAGGTATATAAAAATCCAACAAACAAAATCCACAAATAAATAAAATAAAGAACTAAAGAAAATAATACAACCAAATGTCGGAAAATAGCAAGCGGGCGAAGGCAGGACTAGTAATTAATTGGATCAATGAATTCATATAGGTAATCATTTGATCAATATAGTCTATTGTTACACAAGGACTGAAATATGAATGCAATTAATGAAGTGGAAAATTCTGAGGGCCATAATTCAAGGAAATAGACAGGCAGGCGCAGTTGCAATACAATCGAAAATCACGCGTGCGCCAATCTAGTACCTACCTTGAGATAAATAATAAAATATATATAGCACTATATAAATATAACAATATACATGTAGGTAAACAAATTCTGAAGGCCATAGGTACTCCCGAGAAAACAAAACTGTTTATCCAAGCTATTTCGACCTTAAGCGGTCGCCATTGATTTGAATCTCGCAGTACTGCGCCTACGGTCGCAGGCGCAACTTGTGTACGACACTCTCACTTTATCGCGACATTACTACACAACTCACTCGAAACAATACTTTAAGACCTTTGTAAATATTATAAAACATCGTAATTTTGAATAGAAGTGTGAAAATGGGTTCGGAAAATTTTCCTTTTGAAATTGAAGACTTGGAGGCGGGACTGGCCAAAAAATTAATGGAATGTTTTACCGGTAAGTAGGTTGGTTTATATGTAAGAATTTCACTTTGGTTCACCAACGGTGCTATGGTATGGGTACACAGCGAAGACTGGTTTTATTGACCATACATAAAGCTACTTTATTTATGTTGTTTTCAATAAACATGTACCTAAGGATAAACAGTGTACCCATAAATCGTTTATAAATAAATATAATCAAGGTTTATCATATTATTTTATTGTCATGACGTAGTTATTGTGCGTTTCTTCATTGTTGTCATTTTTAAAGTACGCATTGTTTAGTATGTGCATGTAATTACTTAAATTAATTAAGATTAAAGTGCGAACTTAATTACTTACTTCTGAATATGCAAATGGAAGGTCATTAAGTAAAATAGGTACCCACAGTAAATAAGCACTTATGAGTAGTTCGGAAGCTTAAAAAATAAAAAAACGCAAAGACCATTTACACAAAAAATATTTAAGCCCCAATCTAAACGGACAATGTAATAAATCGTTTAAAAAATCGTTAAAAAACTACAATATAGAATATAAAAACTAGTCAATTTAGGCAATTTCATTTGTGTTTTTTTTCTAATAAATACCTTCTATACTACCGATAGATATAAATCTGTTTTATTCACGCACATTCCGATAACGCAGTAACAGTGAACATGACATTAAATAACTTGTTATCAGGCCATTGACCTTTGTTACTCAACGCGTATGACCGAATGGTACGCTTAATATTCATTAGAAATAATTAGATTAGTTCACATTCACAATGCGTAGCCAGTAAGTTTTTTTATGGGATCGGTTTTAAACGAGCAGATGGATCACCTGATGGTAAGCAATCGGCGCCGCCCATGTACACCTGGAACAAGTGATTTACCGGACTTTTGGGATTTCGAGGATTGTGGGGGATTCGGGGATTGGAGAGACTGGGGAGCAAGTTGAGGACGAAACACAACGCAAGCAAGTTGTTTCACGTCGGTTTTGTGTGAGGCCGTGTTATCACTCCGGTCGAGCCGGCCCATTCGTGCCAAAGCATGGCTCTCCCATACTTCAACACACTGGTTAGAATAAGTACTGGTATTTAGGATAGAGTCATTAATGAGTGTCAGACTATTAACAGTAAATAGACTACTTTTATCAACTACACTATGATGTTCATTCCTTATTATATGGGACTCAAATATATCGTAGAAAGTATTAAATTTTTTAAGAAAAGAAATAGTACCTACCTATTTTAAATTAATCTACAAGACGGACATTAAAATAAAATTTAGGAAACTCGGGCTTTATTTCCACTAGGGTAGTGGAAATAAAGCCCGAGTTTAAAAAAAATATAAAATAAGTTAAGTAACATAACATAACATCACGCCTTTTATTCCCGTAGGGATAGGCAGAGGTGCACATTACGGCACTTAATGCCACTGTACAATATAACACCCACTTTTCACTATTTATGTTATGAGTCCCATGTGATAGGGGGTGAGCTTATTGCCATATACCGGGCACAATTCCAGACTCCGTGCTACTACTGAGATTTTTAAAAAACTCAGTAAAATTTTACCCGCCCCGCATTAATCAAACCCCTCGCCCGGCACTTGCGACCGCTCGGCAAATGAGGCAATCACAGTTTAGTATCTATGAAAATAATCACTTATTAAATATACTTAATGTTTTCCCTAATTAATCTATGGTAGTTAGTGAACACACGGAAATAGCTCAAGTAGGCTGCAAGGTCTAATATAACAGTTTCCCCGGACGTAATACTTTCGCTCTCCGCGATTGCTTCAAGGCCTTAAAAACAAATCAACGCAAATGATTGTACCTATTTATTTTATTCTTATTAAATTTTAATACTTTTTCAAGGCCAATTTAGTCGTTGCATGTTAAAAGTTAATTGTTCTTTTGCGTTGATTACCTAGGAACCTTAATTAAGCTTCAGTTTGCTGTAAACATTATATTAATATGTTCTTATAGAATATAAGAATAATTAATAAAATATTTTATTGTATAGTCATGATATCTGTATAAGTCAATAAAAAATAATTGCTAAACGTGTTGTGTTGCTATGCTCCAAACCCGGGAATGGACGTCTGTTGGTCATCACACAAATTAACGGCACGGCAGCGGCACGGCGTGTTTTGCTTATGGAAAAAATACAAAAATGCTTTTTTGTATTGACGCTATGAAATACTATATTATACGATATAACTTTTAAAACATAACATAACATTACGCCTTGCATCCCCGCAGGGGTAGGCAGAGGTGCACATTATGGCACTTAATGCCACTAAACAACGTAACATCCACTTTTCAGTATTTATGTTATGAGTCCCATGTACCATGTAATAGGGGGTGAGCCTATCGTACACATCATAACTTTTATTATTCTTTAAATCACAAGATAATAGTTGAGTTGGTGACCACTGACAATAATGTATTGCCTATTCGTGTACTTTTTTACATTTTGTTTAAATCCAAGATAACAATACCTATTCCTTTATCATATCTGATAGGCACGTACCTATCTAAGTAATATCTAGTTATGCTACTATATTTGGCTTTATATTTAATCAAATGCCATTTGAGGGAGAACTATAGAGTACTTTTGAATGTCCAACTAGTAAATTAACCGGTTGAATGCACCGATATGGCACACAATAGAAAATAGATTATGTCTCGCGCGGATCCACGTTAGACACACGAAAAGTTAATTAAAAACATTAGACATGTATTCTGGAATAAAAAACATTATCCAACTGATGAGGGGATTGTTCCTGCCTACACCCCTATAATTATCTTCTGTCTGTCGTGGAAATTACGACAAACCCTCTTACTTATTTAGAAAGAAAGCAGTGAACTGTCATAGCAATAAAATTATTCACAGGTCCCAATCAACGGTTGCTTCTTTCCATCATGAAATCATGTTTGATGTTGATGATGATGATGATCAGCTGAAATGGAAACAATTTTAAACAATAAGCAAACAATAAAAATACTAGTTTTAAGCCTATAAATACTAATTAACACTATAAGTGTGGGGGAGCCATGCTTCGGCACGATTGGGCCGGCTCGACCGGAGTCATACCACGACCTCACACCGACGTAAACCCCCCCCCCCCTTGCCCCAATCTCCCCAATCCCTGAATCCCCAACAGTCCTCCAATTTCTAATCCCCGGTAACGCACTTGTAACGCCTCTGGTGGTCCAAGTGTCCAAGGGCGACGCCGCTATTGCTTACCATCAAGTGATACGTCTGCTCGTTTCCCAGCTTATCCCATAAAAAATTATTAATGTACCTATTGTATTTTTAGGTGAGGTGACCGGTTACGTTCGCGTCGGTCCAAAGAAATACTTTTTCCCTCAGAAGTACAAGGAGGAAGCTGCGAAAATTTACAACATGCCGATAAAACGTGATGATGTCTTTGTTACTAGCTATCCACGATCAGGTAACAGACTGCTAATATATTAAGATGTAACCACCAACCAACTGCACCTTGCCTCTTGTCTTTCAGCAACTCCTTATATGTGATCCATAAATTATGGTTTGGGGTATAGATGGTGGGTCTAGGATGTTTATAATAAACACCTACGACACTAAAAAAACTATTTAGGTTTTATATTAAAAAGCTGTCTCTTTGCTTAGCTTTATAAATTAGTTGAATTTATATACCTAGCTAGATCATACTTATATGGCTGTCCCTCCTAGGACTAACTAACTCTATTTATTATACCTTTTCAGGAACTACATGGACCCAAGAGCTAGTATGGATGGTCGCAAATGATCTAGATTACGAAAAGTCTAATGCTATACCACTCACTGAACGATACCCGTTTTTAGAGTAAGTCTGAATTAATTAAAATAAAATATACAGACAGTTATTAAGAATAGTATTGTTTTAATCAATTAACAATATTATGTTATTGACCTCAATAGTAGCAGATTCATTAGTTATTTAAGTAAGTAGGTAACTTCAATCGTTGCGGGGTCAATGACTTATTAGAACTGGATTTAAATAACATGAATAATAAAATGTTATATCATCTACATATCTTATAAATGAACGTGATAACCTTGCGAAGTTTCTGGTTTTGGCAGTTTCGTAATTTCGGAAGTTAATAGATCACGCTATGGTATAATATACACCCATATTCGATCTATCTTTTCGATAGATATTCAATTGCCAAAAACCAAGGACGTTGAAAAAAAGGCGGACATAGTGTTACTTCGAAATGGTTGAAGCACCAAAATGTCCGTCAGTTATTTATGTGTGCGTGTGTAAAGAGTCACTACGTTAGAAAATGACAAATCAACAGATGGCCTTCGTGTGAGCGTGTGTGTTCTGTGTGTAAAACTATAGTAGCCAATTGTCGTTGTTTTTCTTCTGAAAACGTCCTTGGCAAACACGGCTTTTCACTAAAACCTACCCATTTTTTAAGGGGGAATATCATCGAATGCCTCCTCCCGCCTGGGTGAGGCGAGAGGGAGTGTAAGAGACTGCTCTTACTGACTAAAAATCCCCCCGTTCGTACTCCTGCATTTCAAGCCGTAGCCCCGGAAACCCGTTAAGTTCTCCTCGGCTCCGTATCGGCATCAGCCCTATTGGGCCCCACGTGTGGTGGTCTGATGCCTCTTTGACGCGCACACGGACCGCGACGCGCCGCACGCTCGGGGCTGGTTCAGGTCTGGCGACGAGCTACCCATGCTTGCCGTGCGCAGGCCCATGAAGCCTTCCCATTAATCTACTTACTTTGTACCTAGGCACTAACTTAATTTAATTGAAACCATTGTATTGGAGACTCGGTTACCATCAAGGAGAAAAAAAAAGAATACCATTAAATATCTACGATGTTCTTGTATTCACATATTCCCATAACCACCGTAGGTAGTAATCTTAAAATCCCCCAAGGTCAACTAGTCTAAATAACGATGACTGGAAATAATTGGTAATACACGTGTAGAGGTATAATGGCAAATAGGCCACTATATACTAGGTAGTCAATTCTTTAGGTAAAGACATGAAATCTTTTCAGATTCTCGATTTGTGTGCATCCAGAAAATAAAAAGAAGTTCATAGAAGAGAACAGTCACAGTAAGGAGAATCTAGAGCTACTGGAGGCGGTGACTCAGCCAGGCACTGACCAGCTGGCAGTGGCCCCATCCCCGAGGTTCATCAAGTCTCACATGCCTCTATCTCTCTTGCCCCCCTCGCTGCTTGACAAAGCAAAAATGGTGTACGTGGCCCGTGACCCCAGAGATGTTGCCGTGTCATTCTACCATCTGAACAAAGTTATGAGGACGCAGGGATACACAGGCGACTTCAAAACGTATTGGAACTACTTCATACAAGATTTGCGTGAGTAGAATAGCTATGTATTTTTGGTGTGTATTGCTCGGACTCGACTAGAATACTATACAGTGTACGGCAAGAAGCTTACGCAATATCACACAGCACCAGGGCTGTCTTAGACTACGCTGGGGCTCTTGGCACACAATAACTTGTTGCCTTTTTAAAATGATTTTTTTTAACGTTGCCCCGCCCTAGGATTTTCTCCTGTATCGTGAATACATTTGCAAACATACAAGTTCACATACATATCACACCCAGACCCGAAACAATTTGTAGGTACATCGCACAAAGATCATTTGACTGCACGGTTGGTACGGTGTCTGAGCAGCCGGCTGCCGTGCAACGTATCGCGGGTTCGATTCCCGCACGGAACAATACTTTGTGTGATCTAATATTTTTTCATTACTTAACTTACGGACTAATTAGATTTTGAATTTTCATACCCTGTCATCATCCCAATTGTAAGTGTTATTTTAGCATCTGCTATTTTTGTTTACAGATCACTGGGCACCATACTTTGATCACCTCAAAGAAGCTTGGGAGAAGAGAGACCATCCTAACTTGCTGTTTTTATTCTACGAGGAACTTTCCAAGGTATACCACAATCTATAACTGTCACTTGATCTATTTGATGGTAGTTTAACAAACACCAATTAAACTCTACTTGATAGAGGGTAGTTTAAATTTAAAATTAGAAAATAATTAACAGACAAGCTGACCCGGCTTATTATTATATAACGGTAAAATGGGGTGAATAGGAATCGAGATGTGAATAGGGACAGGAGAGGGGTGGATCGATACTAGAGGTATGAAGAATTTCCCAATATCTATTCACCCGTCTTCTGTCTCCATTCACCTCTTGATCCCTATCCACCCCATTTTACGGTACTTCGTACCGTCTAAAGTTTTCTCGCTCTCATTTTAAGACAAAATTAGCCAAATTGATACAGCCGTTCTCTACAGATTTTGAGGCAGGTACCTACGATAATTATTAGGTGGTTCTCATTATACCTATACAATATTTCAGGATCTGCCCGCATCTGTGCGTCGCGTCGCAAAGTTCTTCGGCAAAGAATACTCAGACGAACAGATCGAGCGCTTATGTGACCACCTCAGCATTGAAAGTTTCAAGAACAACAAATCGGTCAACTATGACGTCATGAAGATCCTCGGTATAATGATACCTAGCGACCAAGCTTTCATTAGAAAAGGTAAATTTGACTATAATTTGTACATATTTTAATATCAATCTGTACTTATTTTATACCTATTCTCACTTCAATACTTCTCAGCTTGATTCACCACAAGGAATGGAATATAGGTTTTAACATTTTAGTAATCATTTTATTACAAATACAGGTAAAGCTGGAGGCTGGCGCGACTACTTCGACGAGGAGATGACACAACAAGCTGAGAAATGGATCGAGGACAACCTGAAGGATACTGACCTGCGCTTCCCTCATTTGAATCATTAGTTACGAATTTTGTAATATTGCTTCGAAAAAAAAGAACATAAAGGGTGATAAACATTTATTTAAGTAACATACTATGTTCCAGTTTTCTTTGTAACACCATATTTTAAGTATACATTGACTTTGAAATTTCAAAGAAAGCACTAGCAATAAGTAAACAATGTTAATTCCAATCGTGTCTCAATATCATTCACTGTGTCCGGTGTAATAAAATTTATTTACTCATAAATAAAACAATGTCTCAGTCCTTCCTCACATTTTATTTAAATAATACGGTTATACAAAGAAAATAAATTAAAAGCCAGATTTAATCAATCATTCGTTGGTAATATAAAATTCTAAAACAGACTTATAATCATTATAATGGATAATAACCGTTTAAAGCCGGAACGGGGCGAGTGGCCGCGGCTTCGTGGCCGCTCGCCCCGCTCCGCGTACAACGAATCGGCAACGTACACGTCTATAAAAAGCGACTCTATAATATAAAAGTGGGAGCAAACTCCCGCACCTAACGACTCGCCGCCACGAACGACGTTAAAACTATCATACACTTATAGAAAATCACAAAATTCAAGCGGAAATAATAGGAATCGTTTGTTGTATCGCGCCTACGCGATGACGTCAGGCAACAGTGCGTTGTCGGCGGCGGGCGGGCTCGGCGGCGGCTTGCTCAGGGCCGCGTCGCCGTTGGCCAGGCCGTTCGAGACCACCTCCTTCTTCACTGTCTCTGTTGTTCTCTTCGTAACGGCCTTCTTCTGGCCTGTTGTCGTCGTCTGAAATTTACAAAACATGTATATAGAACACAGATACTATTTGCTTTGAAATTTAAAGCCATAAAGATCTCTTTGTCATACAAAAATTTAGCACTGACCACTGCTCTTATTCAAGACAGGTTTAGTTACGATTTCCTTTTATTTTCCTTGCTCGTACATCAGTGATTTCTAAATAAAATTAGTAAGTAGGGGCTACTCCTATTACTATTAAGTAAGTAGAAGTATTAGTGGTAGTCATAAGTCACTTGGAAAAAGTTGCATAATTATGATACTTTTCCAGGTTTCAAACCCGCACTCATTTGCTTAAAATGGTTGAGCAAATATACAGAAAGTAACTCACTTTAGGGGGAGCAGTCCTAGGCGGTGCTGCCTTGGCTGTGATGCGTTTGTTAGCGAGGTCTTTGCTCTGCTTGTCCAGGGGAGCACGCGGCGCCGGCTTAGGGGCACTCGGCCTGTAGAAGTTAAACGTCATTATAATTACACTTAGATATGTAGACAAGAATTTAAAACATTAGTTTAACAAAAAAATATGTATTCCAGTCATTACTTTATTGCAAATAAGATGTATAATACGCTGTCACCTATGGACAAAAGGATGTAACTAAAGTGTAGAAGTTACCTAGTAGTGGGTGCGGCCGGTGCGGCGGGGGCGCGCGGAGTGGGGCGCGGCGCGGGGCGCGCGGCGGGGGCCGGCCGGGCCGCAGGGCGAGCAGCCGGCTTGGAGTCTTTCACGTCACCATTTGGTACTGGCTTTTTGTCTGCTGGCTTGGGCTGGGGCCTGGCGGCCGACAGCGCGGGGCGCGGGACCGCGGCCCGGGGCGCTGCAGGCTTGGCGGCCGCGTCTGTCTTCTGTACCGCGGGTCGCGCCGCGCCTACTGCGGGCTTCGGGGCCGCGCGTGCAGCAGGAGCCGCGCGACTGGGGGCACTGGTGGCGCGCGCCGGCGCGGACGCGGGCTTGGCGGCGGCTGCAGCGGGTTTGCTGAGCGAGGTGCGCGCGACGGGGGTAGTCTTGGCGGGAGTGGGCGCCTTGCTGGCCGGCGTGGTGCGCGCGGCGGGGGCGCTGCGGGCGCTGGGGGTGGCGGGCTTACTGGCGGGGGTGGCGGGCTTAGTCGCGCTCGTCGTCTTAGCCGCAGAAGGCGCCTTGGCCGCAGGTGTGGGTGCCTTAGTAGTTGGCGTCCGCGCAGTAGTAGTCGCAGTGCTGGGCCTCTTTATTGGTGCAGGAGTAGTGGCTGTAGGAGTACGAGCCGGTGTGGCAGACTTGGGTGCAGCCCTGGGCGTCTTAGCTGTGGGTGTCGTGGGCGACTTCTTTGTGGCTGTAGGTTTAGCTTTGGCGGCAGCGACGCCGGCGGCGGCGGCGGCTCCGACGGCAGCGACAGCGGCGGCTGCGACTGCTACGTCGGCGGCCGGGGATGCTGTGTCGGCCGCCATGGGCGTGTCACTGAGCGGCGCGGCGGGCTCTACGGCCGGCGTGGGCGGCGGCGTGGCGGCCGCGGGAGGTTGCACTGCTTCTTCAAGCTGAATCTCACTAGTGACAGGCACACAAATTTCTTGTGCCCTCGATTCAGGTATACCAATATCGACGTCAGTAACAAGCTCGAGGCGAGAGTGCGGCGCGGGCTCTTCGGGTAGTAGGTCGGGCGCGGGCGCGGCAGACAGTACAGGTGAGGCGGCGCGCTGGACCGGAGACTCCGCGCGGGGCTCGGCCGGGGCGGGCGACACTGCCACAGGCTCCGCAGGCGCGGGACACTCGGGCTCCAGCGGCGCAGGGGACTGCGCGGGTAGTGGGGACTGCGCGGGCAGCGGGGACTCGCGCGGCAGGGGCACGTCGGCCGGCAGCGGGGACGCGGCAGGGACTGGGGACGCGGCGGCAGGGACTGGGGACGCGGCGGCAGGGACTGGGGACGCGGCGGCAGGGACTGGGGACGCGGCGAGGGCGGCGTCGGCGATAGTTTCGATGACTTCTGTTTCAACTGGTTGAGCAGGTTCTTCTGTGACTGGAAGTTCACTGGGTATCGGTGACTCGCTCGGTAGAGGAGATTCCGCCGGCAATGGGGACTCACTTGGCAGTAAAGACTCGCTCGGCGCTAGGGAATCACTGAGTAACACGGGTTCACTGGGCAGTGGTGATTTACTAGGCATCGGAGACTCGCGCAATACCTCAGATTCTGTAGGTAGTGGCGAGTGTGCAGGAAGCGGAGACTCAGTGGGTTGCAAGGCATCAACTGGCATAGGAGATTCTCTAGGCGCTTCAGACTCGATTGGTAGTGGCGACTCTTTTGGTGGAATTACCTCACTTGGTAATGGAGATTGGGAATCTCCTGGCATTGGGGATTCGCTAACTTGTACAGTTTCTGCTTGCAGCAGTGTATCCTCTGGGAGGGGCGATTCCGATGGCAGGGATAACTCTGCTGGCAATGGACTATCTCGAAGTATTGTCTCTTCAACTGGTAAGTGGGACTCGTTCGGAATCGGAGACTCGCTAGGTAGAGGGGACTCCGTGGGTAATGGAGACTCACTGGGGAGAAGAGTCTCGGCTGGAAGTGGCGATTTGGATGGCAAAGGAGAGTCTGCGGTAATATTATCTTCAACAGCGTGGGAAACTTCCGACGTTAGGTGCTCAGTATCGAGTTTAATTTCAGGTGCTTCAATAGCAGCCTCGGTTTCACTTCTTTCAATGCCCTCATCGACATTAACATTGGCTTCTACTTCAGTGTTGACTTGTTCACTAATTGGTTCCTCAGATTTAGGTTCTTCAACATGTTCCACTGCAACAACTTCATCAATATCTGTAACTGGCACTGGTGACACTGCTTCTTCAGGTTTAGATTCCTCAATAGGTGCTGGAGATACTGGAAGCTGCTCAGTAGAAAGTGGTTCTTGAATGTCTGTAGGTACAGGAGAAGCCACTTGCTCTGTTTCAAGCAAGTGGTGAGATTCTACTTGATCATCATCCTTCATGTCATCATTGTGCAACTGTGGTTCAGTTTCTACATAAGGTGAATCTTCAAGTTTGCTTTCCATTTCAATATCTTGTGATGTCTCATCTTGAGGTGTGAAAGGTCGGATGTCTTTCTCACTCTCTGAGGGGTCTTGTGTCTCATCATTTGTAAATCCTAATTCTGAACTCTTGCCATCAGGTATTTCAGGTATTTGTTCAAAGAGCAACTTGTGAGATTCAGGGGTGTCTGTTTGCATAACAGTTTCTTGATTGATATTACTTGATTCAAATTCAATATGTGCAAAACTTTCGATGTTGTTGGAGCTAGTAACGTAATCTGCAAAATTACTTCCTTGATCAAAGTTACCAATGTTTTGTGGAGGACCAGGTCGGTCATCAAACCTCATAATATCATTGTTTGGTTCTAGGAGGTCTCTTTCAAGTTCAGATAAGTTAGTTTGTTGGTCTGGGCTGATATTTTCTTTGTCGTTTTCATAGACACCATTTGTTTGGAAATCTTCATCATCACTGTCAGGTAAGGGCTGTACAGCATTCAGATCCACATGTGACTCCTTGGCAAGTCTCTCACAAGTGTCATCATCTTTTTCTTGGTAGAAGCTCATACTCATTGGATCCCTTTCTTTATTTTTCAGCCTTTCAAATAGTTCTTCATTGCCCTCAACTTCAACAGCAAAGGGATTGGTTTCTGTGTGTGTTTGAAATACCTGGAAAAGAAACAAAAACACATTATATTAATTCTTAATGATTTTAAATACTTATTCATATTCATTGTCTTAATGCAGATGTTACCAACAAAAATACCAAAGTAACAAGAAAAACAATAAACAAATAGTTTCTCTTAGTAGGAACTAACCTGAATATTACAAAAGTCAGTAGTGTCTTTTTGTATTCGCTCAAAGTCTTGTATGAGACCACTATCCTTGACTTTATCAGGTTCAATGCCAACATTGAATCCAAAGCCCAAACTGTCCATGTTACACTTTTCATTGCCATTCAAGTGTTCTTTAACGGCTTCGTCCAGTGATACATTCTGTAAAAATAAGAAAATATATTATTATACTGATAGATAATGTACACATGACTAATAGATAAGTACATAAACATTAGCAAAATACTTCGAAAATTATTTGAGATATTGTAATAATGTATTATTAAACATTAATTCTTAATCTTAATTAATTTTAAACCTAAATCTTTATTTATAATGCTAAATTCAATATTACACCTAAACTAATGAGTTTGTATCACGTTTCTAATTAGTTTTTCTATGAAACATATATGTAAATATGTGTATTTTCTTCTCAATTAAATATACAACATTTGTACAACCAAATGGAGAAAAATTGGTTTTACAATAATTATAATGAACAAATAACAATTATTTCCAACTTAGTACATGAGTAATAGTAATGAGGAATACTACATTTAGGTATTATGTACTTATTGGAACACTAAACTGACAATTTTAAGGAAAAACTCACATTAATACATTATTAACAACCAACTTCTTCCATACTTATATTGCTGCCATTCCCATGAAACTCATGGTTGTATTGTACTAATGAATATATTCAACATGCATTTTATCAGAACATTAATTGGATTCATGTAAACAGTATTTGTTTTCAGTAAAGGTTTACATACTGTTGGCTATTTCACAATCATATAGTTAGCATGGCATGATCATTATAATACGAATGACTAACATCTTTGTTTAACATTTCTTAGATAAGAAATTGTATTCCACAAAAGGTTATTACACCCCTGCCAAATAATTTATTATTAGTAACAACTCACAGTTCCGCAGAAGTATGATAATATGCAACTAATAAGCAATAGCTTAATGTAATTGAACAAAAATTCTAGTCTTTCAATAAACAGGTATTTGATTGAGTAATATACATCTATTATGATTTTTGTTGTTAGATCAATTCAATTGACATATACACTAAACAATTAAACAATGCACTGTGCAATCTTACATTTCTCAAATTCTCATTTAATAACTGAAATAATTAGTGCATGGGATGACCTAAGCATACAAGAACAATAATCCAATTGGAAAATAAAAACAAAAAACAATACACAATAAGGACTCACATGATGGCCATTAAGCTGATCACAGTTATCCAAGTCTAATAATTCTGCTGGCCTCACTACAGCTCCTGTGTCAAACTGTGCCTCGTCTGGTAGCTCTATGTCATCCATCGGCAATGGTTTCCGAGGTGACTCTGCAAGCAAGACGTCAGCACCAGCCACGCTCCCTGGTATGAACACAGGGGCGTCAGGATTCAATGGAGAGCTGTTCATGTCTACTGAGCTGCTTTCCCAAGCCGACTGAAATATATTAACAATATAATTAGTTGTATGCACTCCACATAACCTCCAATAATGTAGTCTACTGACTAATTTAGTCACATTTTGTAATAGATTGAATCATGTTCATGAAGGTCAATGTGAATAATGTATCATTTCACTAAAACTCAATCTGAAGAACAAAGTACTTCATGTCTATAGAAAGCAATTAGGACGTTTATGTATATAATACCTTTGGATTGCCGTAGTTTTACAGTCAATTCATTAATAATAACAATAATTGATTAGAAGTAGGTAATAGGTATATAACAAATGACAACTCACATTATCCTGGCAGGGTGTCTCGGAGTGTGGCACCTCGTCGGGTTCCTCGCTAGGATGTTCTTCGCGTTCACCCTCGCCTTTGAAGTAGTTCCACTCGTCTTCGGAGTCTTCGCCACTCTCAGCTACATTATCCGCTACAGACCCGTCAACGTGGCCCTCCTCCACTGTACACAACACCAAAAATACACTGAATTGATGGTATATAAACACTAATATTAGGTTTCGGTTTGAACACCTGGCTAATACCGAGCACGCAACATTCACCCCTCCTCGCACGATATCAACAGGTGACACACCCTTCACAAAAAATAATCATTGGTTCGATAGGAGGAAACATCAGCTTCTAAGGTAGTTGTAATAAATCATGAACGCCGGTGTTGTTTACGAGCAGCGTGCTAGCAACGATATTTTACCGGTCGCGATTTCAAACTCGCGAGACATTCGCGGACGCCATTTCGAGAACGGCCAGCGGAGCCGGAGACACGCCCGAGTTCGAACTTGGACAGTATCGAGAACATGTGAGTGAACCTCCGGGAATCCTGCGCTCACTGACGTCTGGGGGATGCGCCTTCGGGCGAACCGATCTATTTCCAGAACATCGCTCCGCATGAATCAACACAGAAATAACCTTTCACAAACTGTTCGGTATGTGAAAATAATCAACAACATTCGCTAAAAACCACATACCGTAAACGGTAATTTCACTGCACAGATATTATCTTCACTAGCGGTGTAAAATTCGAGCCGTAAAAATATAGACAAAGGCCCGAATACAATAGCAGCGACTTTTGAGAGTAGCACAGATCCGTCGGACGTTCAATGAGCGACTGCGAGAGGGACGAGGCGAGCGAGCGGGACGACAGCGGCATGATGAGGGCGTAGGGGCTGAGGTGCGCGGGGCGCCCGCGTGCACCCGATAGGGATGCCGTGTCATTTTGTAATAATTCCCATTTATTTTATTTTAGTACGGTATTATTATCCTTGACTAACTAGTTTACAGTATTAAAATATTTAGCGATTTCATTAAATCGTAATACCTATTTGGACCTATCTAATCATCTATCACCATTATGGATGGGACGTTATGTAAAGCACAAATGCTTTCGTTAACCTTATTAGATTGTAGGTGGATTCACATCCGGATATTTTTCGTTTCTACCTACCTAACAATTTACTTCATAGGAGAAAAACAACTCTTGATGGAATAATTTTAAACAACTTGGATTTGATGTACCTACCCACTTATGTAAACAGTATTTAAAAGAAAAAATACAAGTGAACGTCACTTACAAAACATGGTAAATAAAGTGTGACACATTAATAATTACATTAATTCACATATAAGATGAAAAAAAAATGAAATAAAAAATATAAATACATCTTTTTAAAATATCTGTGATATGAAAAAATTAGATTAAGATAACCTAGTTAAGGTACTTTGATGCATTAAGTTTAGAACCCCTTTTCAGAGTGATTATAGGTACTTCTAAGTGTGTAGGTTTATTAATATTGTACTAGTTTATAATAAACGCCTATTTTACTAATGACATCATCTATTAAATCAGCCTAGGCATTCCTTAAATACCTCAAAGTTAAATATGACGTTGTAGGTATGTATTAATATGAAGCTAATATTTTATGGGCTAAATATCCCCCTTGCTGGGCAAACAAAATATACCTAAATAAATACATAACCCTACGATCTGTGAAAGCGTTGACATTGTCATCCCATACGATCTCGCGTAGTATGAGTCAGTCGAGTCATGCATGAGGAAGTTGGTTATTTTATGAAACGTAGACCCAGGTACCTGCCTCTAGTACCTATACAGTAACAAGACATGATCCCTAACCCGACACGTCGCATGACTTAGAATAATGCTCTAAATAATATCACTATTTCAACAAGGAAAAAATTTGGGGAAACGTCAGAAGGTACCAATTGGGTGACGCTGACGTTCGCATTAGAAGGAAGGTCGACATCCCGCCCGTGACCGATCTGAAATTAGGTCAAATGTAACCGGGGACGAGGTTATTCCAGAAAGATTCGGTGTTTACATATGGGCTTATTCAGGACGAGAATTTCACCCAAAACCGATCAATTGCAGTTCAAATTTATTTGGCGTGCTGTAGGAGAAACCTAATAAGAATCAACCAGTTATGAGCTAATGTTTGTTACCGGTCTTGAGATATCTAATTGAAGAAAATCCAAATAGTAGCTGATTTTCACTTCTAAGTTTTATGGAGCAGATTTTATATTATTCATGGGGTTATTATTTGCAATAGCGTCTTACCAGCGTGTGCAGGCGGAGTGGGCGCTTGTGGTTCCTGATTCCTTGCATCTGCGTCTACGTCATCTGCGTCAATATCCACGGCAGTCTCGGGGCCGAGGTCCTCGCTGTCACTGTCGGAGTTGTCCACTCCGTTGTCTCCGGCTATAGCCTCAGCCTCGGCCTCCGCGCACTCCTCGGCCTCGGCTGCTGCGGCGGCCGCGGCAGCGTCTACTTGACGCCGGCACGCCTCTGTCTCGATGGTAAACGGCGGAGCGTTCATCATCGCGTTGTCCAGCCTATAGATGTTTTATTAAGTTTAGTTTTATATTACAAATGATTAAATACCTACCTTAAATACCTAAGATTTTATTTGATAGACATATACATATAAAGGTAAATAAATGGGTAGATAGATAATCAATCAATCATATTAGATTGGTTTTTATTTAAATGACTAATTATAATTCACGAAATATTTATTATTCAATAATACTTTTTACTTGGAATAAGTACTGCAATCTAAAAGCTGATTAGGTATCAAACCTGTTCTTGTTAAGATTACAAAAACTATTATTTAGGTTTTGTACATTACGTAATACTTAGTTTATTGTTAATCAACAACAATAAATTGGATTACCCGAAGAAAGTGACATACCTATTATGTAATATTATACTTTCATTTTCAAGGCTTGTGTTAGAAGATAAGCTAGCAAGTCCCAAGGTCGTCTGGTTCAAGATAATGTCATTCGTACGTCTACATTTTTATACGAGCTCCATATGTATGAATTACCAGTAACCGGTTAACGGTTGGGTATAAAATTTTGTTAGAATAAAGCCAGAAAAGGCATTGTGGACGTTATTTTGCTAATTTGTTTACTTATTCAACGTCTGCGCCCATCATAATGACATCATATGCAGATAGCGTGTTCTAAAAATAGGGATTATTAATATCCACCCATGACATATGGGAATGCTATTAGTTATATTACAGTACGGTACCAAAGTTCGATAAACATCAAACAGGTATGTATGTTCATTTAACTAAGGACTTCCAATCAGCTGACAGTTTGCGTTTACTTAATTAAAATATTCAGGATTTGCATACACGCAGAATTTCTGAGTGAATACTTTCGGCGGTTTGACGTTCTATTATTACAGCAAAACATGACCCTGACGGAATTCCTTCAGAGTCATTGCTAGCAAAATTCCTACGGCAGCGCTCATATAAAAAGAAATGTAAATTAAAATTATTGAAGCATGTTTCATCGTTCCATTCTGAAAGTTAACTATGAAAGTTCAGACGAGTTGTGGATAAGTACGTATAAATGGTTACTTATGCACTTGCGAGAATTACTTTAAACACAGTTATTACGCAGGTTAGAAGAATATGCTTCCATGACGTTTTATTATTTATCATAAAGTGACTTACCCAAGATCCATGGGCGGGCGGTTGTCTGCGGCTATGTCACGCGGGTCCTTCAAGAACACCACGATGATGGAGATATTGTCGGCGGAGCCCTGCCGCTTGGCCTGCACGATCAGACGCTTCGTCACCGCCTTCAAGTCATCTGCACAAAACAAAACATATCGTAAGAATAAGAAAAGTACGACGAACAATTAAAATCTTATTAGGCATAGTTTCCACCGCAAAGAACGCATTAACAACCGACAGCATTTCTTAATGGTGTTATTATCCTTAAAATATCTATGTGTCATCTAGCACAAACTTAAAGTGTTGCGAAGTCTATTATGTCTGCAATTTGTTGCGGCACAATGGTGAATAGACCGACGGATATGGAGTAACCATGTTTATGTTTCGATTTGCCACAGCGCTGGCTGTATGTGAGGATGTCCTTGTTCTGTCTCAAGTCTGCTGGCGTGAGTCACTGGCCAGTGCACCGCTATTGTGCCCCATAATATCACTACGTGAGAGGCCTTCGTTGATATGAAAGCAGCCGAACCATTCCTTTTATTTTGCATTGAGACTTATCAGCTCTAGAATAATTAGGTTGACCTTGTTTTGTACTGGGTGGAACGTTACGTGAAACTTAATTCGTTTTATGAATATTATAAATTAATGATAGGTAAAATCCCCAGAGAATACGGTCATCGTAATATTTAAATTGTTTTTGGACAATAACAAATTGTAAGTAAGTTTCGGACATGCGCTACAAATGCGAATATTATTACGAACCTCGCCTATATTGAACATTTAGGTAGCGGTTATTGAAGCGTCGTCGGTTTTCATGATAGACACACATAATTTAATTAGTTTACACGGGTTGTCTTTTTTCTGTGAACGGTAACTCGACCAGCAGGCGCGCCCTTTCACAGGGAGTGTCTAACTGGAATTTAAAAGTATGTACGGGTATTTCGTGTAATGATGTGCTTCAACCGCCCGTTAGTTCGTCGTCTAAGCGCACGCCTTGACTTTGCTCGCTATTTCGGGGCGCGGTCGTCGCCGCCGCCCTTGCTTTTTACCCTGTTTGGCCTGGCTCGAAGCCAACCGCGCCCCGTCTGCTCTTATTTCGATAAGTCCATAGAAAGTTGTTAATTTAATTTATATATCACACTTCACCAAAAGGAAGTATTTGATCCTGAACATGAAATTTAGTTTTGTAACATGGGCAGCACATTAAACAGAGTCCTTGGTTCTAAAACAAAGTTATTAGTTAGTGTATAGTTTGATTGAGGAATGAGTTTTTGTAGGTATGCGCGGAAGCGGTAAATGTTTATTAGTTAGGTGTATCATGTCGATCGTGGCGCAAGTAGCTCGCAGCGGTCGAGGTGATCATTGCGGCGATTACTGCCGCCGGTTAACGGTGGTGTGGATGGAATGCACGTCGTCGGCCATTGTTCCCTACACTATAACTCGAAGCAAAAACCGATCACGGCCCATCGGCGCATACTAAGCCCGCGACCGCCAGCCACCTGCCGGCTGACGTTATCGAGAAATTCCTATAATTACTGTAGCTACTATCGATAATGCCCAACTAAGGCTGATAGATCATAATATACAAGATGCCTGGGTAATATCCGAATAATTGTCGAACACTGGTGTGTTGTGTGAGAATCTAAATAGAACAGTTGATCTACTTAATAATATAGAGAACCTTACGATCCTAATAATGAACTGTATAAAATTGGACCAAAATAGTCATACATACATATTAATGTGTAGGTCTCGGTGTAGTGTAGGTAGACGATTGTCGTAGGTCAGAAATCAAATGTAAAGAGTAGAGAGAGCAGACGGGCCAGTGGGTGGGTCGGATGGGAGGGAGGGATCAAGTGCAATTTTCCAGCAAGGTTCGACGCAGCGTGCAAAGCCGACTGGCAGACGGTAGACGGCAAAGATTATTTCCATGTCCGCTGGCTACACAATAAACGTAGCCTCTATTATGATTACGACCCAGTTAAAAACAGTTATTACAGATACTCATTGAAAACTAAATTACTATTGTAAATCCTGGATTGCGTATCTAATACCATAACATAACGGCATCTTCGGCCAGTGCTTCGAAGCAAAGCTGCTTGGCTAGCAGTTTAATTTCTTCAAATCTTAATAAAATTATAGTATGCTACTATTTGAAATTTGAATTCAGTAGTTAGGAGTACCTATTGGTATTCTAATACAAAAATATTTGTTTGCAAGCACGTATTCAAATGCGGGTAACAACGTTCGCCCACGCCAACATTCATTCAGTTTCAAACGTTGTGTACCCAAAAGTTTTTATCGCACTGAATAAAAATTCAGCTGAAAATTTTTTATTCTATGTTGCACTAAAAAGCAAAAGCCTCGCCCGCATTTTAATATAGCGGCTGAACTATACAGGTTACAGGCAAACTTCGACAAAAAAGGACCCGTATCCCCCCCGTGGGGTGGTAGACAGCACAAAATGAAATCTATTTCAGCTTTCAATTTTATTCAGCTTTTTACGACGAGGCTTTAGAAATAATCCGCAGCCTACGTTCGTAGTAAGGTCTGTTAGGTTCATAAGAGAGTGTAATTACTTTTGCAAGTACATACTTTATCAGAAAGTAGAATAAAAAGCGACTCAATATAACTAACAATGATGTCCATAGTTGATTAAAATCGATCAATGTTTCGTTGTAATAAAAACATCACAATAATCATTGATTATTCTGAGAAAGTTATCAATTTAAGGAATGATACGAATGAACATAAGACGGAGTGACTTCTTATCAACGGGCTACCAAGAACAAATAAAAATCCTTTAAATCGATCATTCTATATGGCATGAACCGTATGTGAGTGCATTGTGCAATGTAAGAATGGGAATCAAACGGCCTTACTTACTGTACACTTGTGGTGATCTTATGCGTATAACGCAAACATGTATCACATAATTGTACAGCTGTATATTTCAATCCACTTTTGATAATAATTCCTGCGAAGATTTCAGCAGCTGCGGTACTCGTAGCCTGCTTATGTTCAGTACGCAACGCTGAGCTCACTCCCGCTGAAGTGTTAATTAAACGTATACGTAAATACGGTTTGGAGGGTAAAAGCGAGGGGAGGACCGTAGATGTTATTTACATTACCATTATTGTAGGAAAACACAGTTGACAGGACTACTTAGAGACGAACGACTAATTGTACCTACATATATTATTCCAATCAGTTTCGATCCCGTGACGGCGCGACATACGGCTAACGTCAGACGTCTATCAAAGCTAAAAGCTTTTATACGCCATTGACACAATTAACGATTATAAGAAACAGCCCTTTATACAAAACAGAGTCCATCTTTCGATGAATACCTACTATAATATTCTTAAATTCCACGTAATAATAAATATGCACTGAATAATTTATGAATATACTTATAAAATCACCTTTTTGCTAATCAATGAATTAATCGCGATTATAGAAACCTCTCTAATTGTTAGTGCGCACACTCAAGCGTAATGAAATTGAGTGGGAACTTTCGTGCACGCTCTACGTTCATCAGTTGGCCGGTAATTGGTTTAGTGAGCATGCTTCGGAAAGAGTTATACAGAGTTATATGTGGCCGTGGCATCGGGATCCTTCTAATTAACGCTCACAGCACCCGATTCGAATGCTCTCGTAATTGGAAAGCTGCTGGGCTGTCCGTGTCGTGTCGCTTGTCGCTCGCCACCTCTATAACCTCCCGTCGCGTTCGCCACTTACACGTTTTTAAAACTTTTTTTGAACTAAATCGAATTAAAATCAGATTCTTATTTGAATAAGCCAAGTTGAAAACTTCAGTGTAATCCCTGTTTAACGACCTTTCAAAACTTCTCTCTGTGATATGGCTGCGATTACGAAGTATTTTTAAAACGCGATGAAAGGAGATAAAATATTCCATATTTTGTGATCACTACGTGAAATGACTTTTTGTCGGATTAAGAAATGAGATTAATATTAACTTTTTATGCAAGGACAAATAAATTAATACATATCAACATAATATTAATATATCTAACTGACAAATCTATTCGACATTAATCACCGTGTACCATCGGGGAAAATCTGGTAAGATTCAATTTAGGATTTAAAGGACACACAAGAAGACAATTTTAAGCCCGTAGTAAGGATGCAACACTTGCAAGCACTTCCAGGCATCCTGTGCACATGTGGCGTAATTTCACTAATCGCGCAGAGGAAATGTGGATCAGCGGGCTGCATTCAAACACAAAGCGACCTCAATTTCAATATGTAAAGTACGCAATGTGAAAGATGAGAACCGTGTCAATTACTGAATATATTGTTTCAGGAAGCTGTTACATTGTTGGGAAACACAGCTATACAGTTAAACTAAATCCTGCTAAACACAGAGATTGCATTACTATGTAACAACAATATCGATCAACTATTATTCCCGGACTAGTCATATTACGGGCTGTTCTGCGAGTTATTACACCGCTTAGCATTTAGTGCAGGCTGTGCAGGCGACTGGTCTGGGCTGTGGGGCGACAAATCACGCCTGCATATCGCATTTATATGCAAAAGTTTCGATCCCACGCAACAAGTACCACTTGTCGCCCTCGATAACCCTGTGATGCAGTCCTATTCCAACGCCTGCTTATTTAATTAGTCACTGCGAGTTATTTATGTAGATTATCTAATAGAATCTATTTCAGGAAATGAGGTTAATCAAAACATTAGTGGTAAACAGGTAAAACACTTCAGAAAACTTCAAGGGAAATTGCGCCTGTTATCAGTCGTTGAATCATTCTGTTTTATAGGTATTATTAGGGACGTGCCCAATAGATATTTTTGTTTTGCATCAACACACCTGTTTGGTTTGCAGAACACAGTGAGGCAATGTGAACGCGGAGATAAGTATAATTAGTTTTATATAATAAATATAACATTGTTGTTATCTGATTACGCAGCCGCCGCATCTTCTTTATTCCCATCACAGGTTAATAACCAGATAAAATAATAGCAGCTCTACATCGTTCGCGTTCTACCACTCGCCAAGTGTCAATGCACTCGCGACGGACATACTCGGGCATTTAGTACACTCTGTACTTATAACAATTTCACATACACCTGTACTGAAACCGTTTAATGTCTTAT